CCGCCGTTGGACGCCGGCGGTGATCGTTCAAGGCCCCAAAAGGCTTTATCTTCACACCGCCCGGCCGTCTCCCTGCGTACATGCGCGCTTGTATGCTTAGGCTTTGCAGCCAAACTGGCGAGTTCGTGCACAACGCAGACGTCAGAACAAGATCCTGCGCGAGGAACAATCGGACCGACTCGCTTCTCGGCCCGAATGCACAGTTGAACAATGCAAAGCAATAAACGCGGAAGCTGACTTTAACCCTCTGATCCCTCTCATGTGGAGCTTGAGTTACCGGTGCTCAGCGATGCTTACGGCTATCTACCGGTGTCTTCCCCGTGCGGACGCTCGATCGCGAGAGCTTTGCGTCCGCTACAGCGTGGAGCTCGTCTTGAACAAAGCTTTCTCTTCACCACCCGCGCGCGGATGACAGGACCGACGGGCGCCCACATCCACCGCGGATCTACGTTCGAAACGCTCGGTAGACGCCCGTCATGTCGATCCCACGACGATCCTGCTGAATACAGTGAGCACGCGACGCGCTTCTCACCCTACGTATGCGGATCATGGTCGTCTGGACAATACAAGACGTGGTGTACGTCTTTGCTCAGCCTCTGCATATTGACGCTTGTTGGACCAAAGCACTGACATGCCCGAGGCATCGCAAGGAAGCTCGGGCAGGTTTGGCCAAGCCCTACACTTCGGTGAGCCATGAGCTGTGCCCGCCCGTCGGGCTCGCAGTCTGGCCCACCGCTGAATTGCGTCGGCGTAAACTATCGTAGGTCAACGAAGACGATGCTTCACCGCAGGTAGGGAGCCCCAAAGATAGCGATGTCGTGCCACATAAGAATCTGACCGAGACCACCTTGTTGATGCCGACTACGCGCAAAATCGTAGCGTGGGAGGAGACACGCTAATAGCGAATGTGCGACTTGTGCTGCATGTGCAAATGCAAAGCTATGTGAGACTATGCACGGAGCTTCGGAAAGGGAAGCAGTGCGCCCGATCTGAGCCAAGTGAAGCTCTATGAAGACATGTTCTCGAGGGAACTGCGATTATAACGTCAGAGTTCTATAAGATGGCACTTTAGTGCTGGATGCGTCGCAGTGAATCAGATAGACCAAAGCATGTCTGGGATTCCAGTCATTGACTCCCGTGTATGGATCCCGTGGAAAGTCTGACCGCCGTCGCTACGCGGAAGACGATTCCATAACCTGATAGCCATATACGGGAAACGTCTTGCGCCCCAGAGACGTCGGAATGTCCAAACAGCCAAGGCCCGCTGCTAACGGCCGCAACTACACCGACATTGCCGCTGGGAAAGAAGATCCTATCGGCACGAAGTTGATGCCACAATCTAAATATGCAGTGCGAACTCATATCGTACTGCGAAACGGAAAGACGGGGACAATGCAAAAAATCAGCTTGACGGAATCCGTTGCATCGTCTCCTACGTGCGCACGAGGCGCTGGTGCAGCTGGTGGGCGGAACGCAATTCTGCACCTTTCCGTCGCGCTTGTCGTGGCATCGCAATACATGCATACGGAGATTGGTTGGCGGTATGTAGTACTATGTAGGGAGAACACCTTACTCCTCGCAGCCAGATATGCTTGAGTGCGCCTGGGAATGTGCACGCTTTACCATCACTGCGCGACACGAGCCGGCGTGTCGAGCCAGAAACAGCAACAACCACACCTACTCGAAATCTTCTTTGATTAGTATGCGACACCACATCTTCGAACGCTATCAGGTATCTCAACTAGGCTTTGCTGCTTAACGGCAGGGGCAGAATGAACATCAAAGTCACACCGTGCCGCAGAGACGTCTCCGCGCGAAGGTTCCGACGTTGACGTGCGATGTCGGCACCGAGTGAGAAGAAGACGACGTTCACAGGTATCGTTTCTGCGAGATATGTATCCAGCGGGAGTGGACCTGGTTGAGTACAGAAAAGGTGTAGCGACCGGTGCCGGTGAAACTTCTTTGTCTGTTCGAAGAAAGCGCAAGCAGGCTACTTACGTACGCAGTCGTGCTTGCGGCCGTGATAGTCGGTTGGAACAAAGTACAACCAGTACGTTGTTGTACCGCAAACATTCCGAGTTTCTTGCGCTGCGTAGGCGTAGCAAGGATGGAATGGTGTCAAGAATGGGATGCTTGCGATGGTGGTCTGTGCCAAAGCTCGCGACGGCAGCTCCCGCGGATCACGATTGCCACGCGAGATTCGATGCCGGCCGAGTTGCCGAACGAGCTGGCAGAGCACATCAAAGGCGCCTTGATTCAAACCACCACAGAGACCGTATTGGCTTGCTGCTTGTAAAAGTTCCGTACGACTCTAGACTTCGCTCTACACACTTGTAGACATACGCGCAAGGGAACGTTCAGCTTCGCGGAGCACCAACCTCATGGGGTTTGGAGGCTCAGCTGAGTTGTGCCCAATTCTCGGCTGCACTCCGTGCAACCCGAGTTCTATATTTATCCTGCTGAGATAAAATAAGGTATATGCATCGCTCACGAGTAGATCCATCATCTGTATCTGTGTGCGGGCGTCGATGTCTCCGAGTTGTGCTCATGGGCTGCGTTGGAGAAACCCCGCTGCGCGTCTGACTCCAACTTGACCAGTGTTACTCTGTGCTATCGTATGAGGAGCTTGCCCTTATAAGAGCTCAGCCTGCACTGCCATGCGACCCGTCGGTCTCTGAAGAGTGCAAGTGGCGGGCCGCGTGTTGTAGAGCGGATACGTATCATTAAATTTGTCGGCGTGTGCGGGTTGATTACAGGTACCAGGCGCAACCTTTACCGGCGCCTGGGATTGCCCTCGGCTCGAAAACAGTATCCCGGCTATCCTGTGTGGCGCCTATTCCTGCCTATAAACTTGCACTCGAATCCAGTCACGATATATCGACCAGCCGCCGCGTACTTCACTCGAATGCCTCGCCTCGAACTCCCGCCGCCTATACTGAGGAATCAAGGGATATGCCTCGTGCGTGCAGAATCTCCAGGTCCGCTCTTCAATAAGGGTCAACTGACGTTCTCAGCGGTGTAATCGGCGTTCGACGGCATACGACTATACTACGCAACTATACTATCAGTGTACGGACCAAACCCTCTGGGTAAGCCCCATCGAATGCTGACCACGGCTGTGTGCTCCTACAGATTGCGGCATGGCGTGCGCAACTCTGGCTTACAACATCAAGAGCTCTAAGCATGATGTTTGCAAGGTGAGCTGGTTCTTACCATCATCTTGACGGAGCCTTATCATGTTGCGCGATAGCATTGCAACATACTCCCTCGAGCCTGGGACCCGCACCACGGTCGATGGCACAATTGTACGTCCGAAGTCATGGCATCCACGACGTTGCAACTCACCGTGGACGTGCAGATTGTGGGGAAGCCTGTGCGCATGCAGCTGCCGCGGCCAAGTCGGGGCGAGGAAGAGCCTACGTGCAACAAGTCGCTCAAGAACCGAGAAGGGTGGTTTCATCCGCCATACGCTTCTTCAAAGAGTCCAGAGCGTACTTCAATCTCACAAACGAGTCGAAGCATCCGATCGCATACAAAGGATGCATATACCCCACCGCTCAGCACGCCTTCCAGGCTCTGAAGGTCTGTACATTCGACGTGCGGGGCTTTCTCATGACTGATCATACACGCAGTTCCTTCCAAAGTACCCCGACCTCGCGGAGCATATTCGCAGGTGCTCTTCGACAGATCAAGCTCGCCGGGAAACAAAGAGATACAGGAATCGTGTGTACTCTGCTTCTGAATGCATACCCGTAAATCTGATAGGGCATTAGACATACGCGCAGACTGGTTCTCCACTCATCGTGGCAAGCTCGTACACATCGCGAAGGTCCGTGCTGGTCATTCTTTCTGATCCTAGTGGTGCCTGACACTACACCTCGCAGATGGAGGAGATCCTGAGTCTCAAGTTCCAACAACATCCCGACCTTTGTGAGGAGCTTGCTTCGACCTCAGGTTCTGAGTTGATCTATGTATGTCGCCTATCGGGTCACGACACTTCTATTCGCTGAGCAGTCCCAGGATAACCCGTCTGACGCCTTCTGGGGCGTGGGGCCCGACAACAAGGGGAGAAACGAGTTTGGTAGAGCCCTAATGCGACTTCGTAAACACGTCCTCGAGCAGGCTCAAGCTACTCAGCGTAAGCGGAGAGGTTGACAAGGTCGTTTTCTGAAACACGGCTCGCTGGAGTGATCGTCAAGGGATTAACAGCATCGACAGGATCGAGTATGGACAGGCGTATACAGTTCCCATCACGTCTCTTCAGATACCTACATAACATAGTTCGACAATGGCTGCAAATAATGGATATGGCAATTCACTGGACGATGTCTGAGCGATCATGGCCGGTGCTGTAAGGTTGAGTCGCGCTCGGTACTTGTACGCGGGGATCTGCGAACACAAGGCGTTTCACGATTCGTGGCAGGTACGTTGACGCCTCGAGGCTGAATGTGCTTCGCGTGAAGTCATCGCAACGGGAACGTCGTGGTCCAAGACGAAGCGGGGAACGTACTCGAATAAATGAGTTGTATGGTGGCGCCACGTGAGTTCGGACCGAGCCGTGGTGGAACGGCTCCGACGCGTCTTGACCTCGTACCAGGGCGAGCGCGTCGTCCAACCCATACCCTCACTCTCACATGTCTGATAACGAACCCGTCGAGTCTGCTGCACCGGCTGAGGCTACTGAGGCCGAGCCGGAGACTGGTGCAGCGGATGGCAGCATCTATGGCGATGCGCCCGCGTCCGAAGCCACGCACTCGCAGGATGGCGAGGCAAACGTGGACGGCCACGCGGAGACTGGCGACGAGGCTGCGGCTGCTACTGGCGACGAGGCTGCTCCCGCTTCTGGCTCTGAGGGGCCTGCTGCCGAATCAGCTGAGCCCGATGCGACCGAGGCTGCTGCTGAACCGGAGCCAGCTGCGGACGCATCTGGCGAGAAGCCTTCCGAGGTCAAGGTCGACACCGATGCAAAGAAGGGTCCGCCCACGCCTACTGTGAAGAAGGTATGGAGGTCCCTCTTATATTAATGGAGTACAGAACGTGTGTCTAAGGCGTGTCGCACAGATCATAAGCTCTGGCAAGTTTGGACCTACTACAAAGTCCGGACCCACCGCAACCAAGCCTTCCACCGCCACCGCGAAGCCCACAGCGCCCTCCGCTGCCTCTCCCAAGAAACCCGCCGCATCGGTCACTGGTACTGCCGCAAAGGCTGGCTCAACCGCAACGAAACCTACGGCAGCATCTGCAGCCCCGGTCGCACGTCGCGCTAGCATGGCTCCTCCGGCATCCAAGCCCATGACATCTGCGCGGGCCCCCGCTCTTGCAAGCTCGGTATCGGCAAAGCCCGGCACGACGGCTGCCCCTCGGGTTGCGCCGGCAAGCGCACGCGTGCCGGCAAAGGCTCCCGCAACTGTCGGTGGTGCCACCCGACCGGCCGTCACAGCGTCCAAGGCGCCGTCGGCAGCTGCACGTCCGGCCGCGGCTTCGGCTGCCGCTAAGACAGCGAGCGGCGATTCCGCCAAAGCTTCGGCACGCGGTGTCGTGAGCCCGACTGGGAGTGTTGCGTCCAGTAGCGCTGCTCCGCGCCCGCGTGCGAGCGTTAGCGAGGGAGTGCTCGGCACGAAGAAGGCCGGTGCTGCGACTCCGCGTGTCGCGAGTACGTCTGCTCGCCCGGTAGGCCGTACTCCTGGCGCAGGCAGCATTTCTAGTATCCGCGAGGTCAAGGAAGACAGCAAAGCGCTTGAAGCACTTCAGACGAAGGTTTGTTCACGATCGTACATCTTGGTGTAGTGTCTGACGTTCCTGTGTATAGTTGACTGAGGCTACTACTTCACTTGCAGAGAAGAGCGAGGCTCTGGCGGCAGCGGAGGTACAACTCGAAGCACTAAAGGTCAAGGCGGCTGATAGCGAGGCACAAGCGACTGCTCTGTCTGCTAAAGTCGCCGAGCTTGAGGAGACCGTGAAACGTCTCGAGGCCGAGCTGACGACCGCGAAGGAGGCGGCTTCATCCGCTGAATCTGGCGCTGATGCCGTGGAAGCTGTCAAGAGCGAGGTAAGTGATCAGACTATCATCGTATTCCGATATTTGGCTGAATTGTAATATAGCTCGCCGCAGCCAAGGAGTCGAGCGCAGCCCAGGCCAGCCAGATCGAGAAACTCCTCGAAGGAACGAAATCGCTGGAGGACGCCGTGAACATTGCCAAGACTGAACTCGAGACGCTACGCGCATCATCGGGCTCGAACGCGGAGCAGCTGGCCGCTTCTGCGGCCGTCGACCGCGAGGCTCTACTCAAAGCTCAGGCCGACCTTGCCACAATCCAAGACGAGCTCACCAAACTCCATGAAGCACACGCCGCTGCGCTGAAGGAGGCATCCGACAAGCTCGCTCAGGCTGAAGAGCAGGCTGCCAGCGCGGAGAAACTCGCTGAGGAGGTCGAGGCGCTTAAGCGTGAGAAGGAGGAGAGTGCGAACAAACTGAGCGAGCTGGAGGTTGAGATCCTCGAGCTGAAGGAGGCGGCGGAGAGCTACGACGACGAACGTAGTCAGGCAAAGACTAAGATTGAGACGATCGAGGCCGACATCGCGCGTTTGGAGAAGCAGCTTGAGAACTCGCAGGCTGAGGCGGCCAAGCAAGGCGAGCTGCATGCGCTTACGCTTGAGGAGTTGCGCGTCATACATGCCCAAGAGCGCGAGAAGGCGGAGGCGGAGCAGAGCGAGATCAACACTCAGCTCGCGAGCGCTCAGGAGAGCGCGACCGAATTGCAGAAGAAGGTCGAGGAGGCAGCACAGGCCGCGGAGGGCTCTGCTGCCAAGCACCTTGAAGCGCTCGAGGAGTTGGCCAAGTCGCATCAGGCGCATGTCGACGAACTCGCCAAGGAGCTTGCTAGGGTCAATGCGGAGTTGGAGAGTCAAGAGGCGAAGTACGCCGAGAAGGTTGAGGGCGTCAAAGAGGAACATGCAAAGTTGCTCGAGGAGGCATTCAAGAAGGCCAGGGTGCGCATTTTCTTCTGTGTGGACATAGAATCATCGCTCATCGTACACCTCGTCAGGATTCCGCCGTCGATGAGCACAACGAGGAACTCCGCAAGCTTAAGGGCGACTCTGATCAGGGCCTCAACAGAATCTTAGAGCAGCACCAAGCTCAGCTCACCGAAATGCAGAACACTCTCAAGACACAGGCGGCTGATCATAAGGCGGAACTCGCGAAGGCGCAGAAGTCTCTCCAACTCGAGCTGTCGGCAACGCAGCAGGATCTTCAGAAAGCGAAGTCTTCTTTGGCAACCGCACAGTCCGAGATCACGAACTTGCGCGCTCAACTCGACGCCGCAAAGGCCGATGCAGAAGCTGCCGCGGCGTCAGCGCCCGCGGACCAAAGTGGCGATGTTGCGCGCTTATCCAATCAGCTCGCGAACCTCCGGGACGATCACTCCGGGCTCATGGAGGTGTTCAACGCCACGAAGGAGAGTATGCAAGAGATGAGCCGTTCTCATCATGCAGAGCTCGAGTCCGCTGCGAAGGCGCGCGCGGATGAGGTCACTGCTCTCAAAGCGACGCACGGGAAGGAGCTCGAAACGCTGACGCAGGAGAAAGAGGCGCTCGCGCGGGAGCTTAGCGACCGTGAGGGCGAGCTCGCAACTGTCAAAGCTGAGCTGGAGGCGGGCGCTTCTTCGGCCGCGTCGGAGCCGGCCAGCGCTAAGCGCCCTGGTGCGAACGGAACGTCCGGCGAGGACAACATTCAGAAGCTGCATGACGCGCATAACCTGAGGATCGGGGATCTCGAGGCGAAACACGCACGCGCGCTTAAGAAGCTTGAGGAAGATCTTGAGGCCGAGAAGGCGCGCGCTACGGAGTTGGAGGCTGACGTCGAGAGGAAGAAGCTGGAGTTGTCGTACCTGGAACAAGACTACGAGGAGAAGGATGACAATATCACCAGGTACGTGAATAACCGTCTCTTGCGTCTCTTGCGGGTGTGGAAGCGCGTGCTGTCGACTTTATTCTGCTTGTTCTGAGTGCCTGATGAGTGCGCTCTGCTCTTTACGCGCTGGTCGCTCGTGCTATTTCCGTGCTCTCATCGCTCTGCATACACGCGATCTCATTGTACACCATCCTGCATACCGGCTCCCATGCACACTGTAGCAACATGTCTTTCATATCACCGTCCATCATCCATAAAATGCCGCTCTCGTTCATATGTACTACATACCTCATTGTCTCGTGCACACTCGTCCATACCACACCATCCATTTGTTCTCCAAAGCCTGCCCGCTTCCCCCTGCACTGCGCTTTCCGCGCCTTCTTCATTCGCGAAAACATGCTGACACCTCGCTGTATAGGCTCGAAGAAGAAGTGGAGAGCCTCAAGGCCCAGCTCGCCGCCGCAACATCCTAGGTCGCTTCACAGCTCCCTGCTGCAGCCTCGCGAAATCGGCGAGGACGTCGCGCCCCTTCATTCCCAATCCTCTGCTCCACGGACTCGTTGTCAACTACCAATCAATCTAACCCATTACCTTCACGTTTATACCCCGGTACCAGGCCTGTACGAGCCCCGTCTCCCGCTTCGTCATGTGGAACTACTAGACGGATGTGGAACACCCCATGCAATATCATCTGGTCGCTTTACTTTCTGCGCGTACTATACGCTTTAGATACTAATGCCAATTTCACTCCTTTGCTTGATTTGATGTGGATGTGTGATCGGTCTGTGCTTAACGATCGCAGAACGGGCGGCGCTCAGGCTACAGTCTGCTGAAAACATTACATACGACGCGCGATCACGATGCGATTATCAAGTGTAACATTCGACTTCGTGGAATACATCCTGCTTGTCTGGTTTTTTACATAGGGCTACATTGTATAATTGTCCTTCAGGCGTAAGATCGTTGATGTCTAAAGTTCCGCGTTGAGGTTCAGAGCCGTGAGCGCCGGCTCGGCCAGATTGTCATGGTTATAACCAAGCACAGCGATCTAAAGACTCATCAGCACTAGCGCTCGGGGACGTCTCGATGAAATTGTACTCACGGCACCAGGTGCGTAGTTGAACTTGGTGCCTTCAATGAGCGGCAGCCCAAGCCAACGCGCGATCATGCAACGGTTGAAATGGCCGTGCGCGACGATGACGACGTCGCGCGAGCACTTGCCGTGCAGCTTCCACTGCGTGTGGCGCTCGCGCACCATAGATATGACGTGGTCGACGCGAAGGGTCATGTCCTGGGCGCTTTCACCGCCGGGACAGCCGTCGACCCAGATGTTCCACTTGTTACCCTGTGGCGCTTTCGCTTTGATCTCGTGCGAGAGAAGGCCTTCGTAATCGCCATAGTCCCACTCAGCCACCTGACATGATCTTAGAGTGCGTCGTATACTGTAGTAAGAGAGCAACATACATCCTCAAGGAATATATGCGCAGGTGTCTCCGAAAGATGCTCAGTGAGCAAGTGGAAGGTCTTGTGTGCGCGCTGGCGAGGCGAGCAAAGTACGACCTCAAGGTTAGCAGTGTCAATGAGTTCTGGTTGGAAGTTAGTAGCCTATTGGCGAGGGCACAAGGATGCAACATACTGCCTGCTCCGACAAGGTCCTGAGCCTTGAGCTTGATCTGCTCTTCGCCGCGGGCCGTCAGCGGGATATCAGTGCGACCTGTCTGTATTACGACAGCCTCAGCTCACAGTAGCAATCACAGCCATGTTAGAGAGGGGCTTACGTGACGGCTGCATACGTTTCAGAAGGGTTCAGGGCCTGCGATCAACGCCGGATGGGGATCAGCACATACCCATTGAGGGACCATTCAGTCTCGCCTATACGAGGTCAGCTCTCGAACTCGCGCAGTAGATGGCAAGATTGGCCGCCGAGGGACTGACCGTGGCGAACCAGGATGAGGCGGGGCATGGGAGGCATGATGGTCAACAGGGATCGGGGATACGATGAAGGACAGAGGGCGTAAGCGGGCTGCTCGGATTATATAGTCTATGTACACCGAGCGCGTTCCGAATTAGTATGAGCCCGAGGAAAGCCGTAGTAAGCTGAGCGAGCGACGTATACAGATGGCTAAAACCAGGTAGACTAAGGTGGCGGAGGGAAGAGTATGTGCGCCGACGTCAGACCCCGCGCCCCGCGCGGGCCGTTGCCGCCGCTCACTCGCGTTCTCATCGGACATCAACAAGGCCGTCGGCGCTCACGCACGGTGAAGGTTAACATGCTATGCAATATCGGTCATACAGGAATGCGCCTGTTACATATAGCTTGGCTGAAGAGAGGAATAGATACTGCGGGTGGCGAGATGATGCGGTGTTGTGAGTCGCCTTATCCAAGTTGATATGAGCCGAGCGCTGGCCGCCAAACCCTGCCTCCCGCCTTCACGTCCGCTTGAGTGCCGTCTCGCCTCGTTCTCGTCCCCAGCCCCGCGCTTTGTGCTCTTTCTCTCCCGGTACCTCCGGTACGTTTGATATATTCTTGGAGCATCACAATTCTCTAAACAACTTGCTTGGTTACCGTAGCAGTCTCCAGTCACCACTCCCGAGCTCGCGCCCGACTCGTCAGGCTGTACTCCCGCATTCCAGACATAGAAACCAGCCTGTGCCTCTGAACCGCGCCGCTTTAATTCGAATATGCAGGCCATCAAGTGTGCGTCTCTGCGCGCTCGCCCTGCAATTGTTGTCATTGATATGAGCGTGATGTCGCAGGTGTTGTTGTTGGCGACGGTGCTGTCGGAAAGGTGTGATAGGCTCCTCTACGCCAGCAAGCGGCAAGAAACTCATACCGCGCAGACTTGCCTTCTCATCTCGTATACCACGAATGCATTCCCGGTATGTATCCAGGACCCATCTCATAACATGACTATCAACTGACTTCGTTGCGAAGGGCGAATATATCCCGACAGGTACGATTGAAGCATTCCGCGGCAGCGCTCCCACTCGCGCCGCCCTTGCGAGAGGAGCATTAGCTCCTCGTGACATCAAATGTTGACGTGTCCCCTAGTGTTCGACAACTACTCAGCGAACGTGATGGTGGATGGCAAGACCATCTCGCTCGGCTTGTGGGACACTGCTGGTCAGGAAGATTACGACCGCCTCAGGCCTCTGTCTTACCCGCAAACGGACGTCTTCCTCATCTGCTTCTCACTCGTTAGCCCTCCGTCGTTTGAGAACGTAAAGACAAAAGTGCGTCATGCGTGTCCTTGGGCCTCTTATGGTCATCACAAGCCTCGTTCCTCTCTCCATCGCCCTGTCTATCTCCACCACTCCTACATTCATCAGTCATTTCCTACCCTTCTATTGTATTTGAGAGATAGACGCTGACCACCATTGACAGTGGTACCCGGAGATTTCACACCACGCGCCGCAGACAGCCATCGTGCTTGTTGGTACCAAGCTTGACTTGCGGGAGGACCCCTCAACGATCGAGAAGCTGCGCGACAGGTGAGTGTCCGACTCTCGCACACACCGCTAGCACCATCGCCGTCACGCGCGGGCCGCCTGATAGATGGCGGGTTCGTTAGATCCTGATCGCACGATCCTAACGCCCGACTTCTTCGTGGCTTGCTGATCCAACCCTGGTTGGCGATCCTTGCGCTGCCTGGGAACGGCGCTTATTTCGGCTTGTATCTATCCGTTTGAGATATCCGGATGTTGACGCGCTTGTGTTCTAGGCGCATGGCTCCCATTCAGTACACGCAGGGTGTGAACCAGGCCAAGGAGATTGGCGCCGTCAAGTACCTTGAATGTTCTGCTCTCACGCAGAAAGGCCTCAAGAACGTCTTCGACGAAGCCATCCGTGCCGTCCGTGCGTACTCATATGTCTCATTCAGTTGACTACAAACTAACATGAACCGCAGTCAACCCCCCTGCGAAGGAGCCCAAGAAGAAGAGCAAGGGCTGCATCATCGTCTGAGCGTGCATTGCCTCATCTGCTTACCCCCCATTGGCACATACAGTATACATACCACCATTTACCCCTCCTGTGCTTGACGTTACGACTTTCAATGGTTTTCCTCTCCGCCTCGGTTGACTTCAATGCCTCATGACCTACATCCCGTGTGTTTGTTTATTTCTTCATCTTGCTTCTCTCGAATCTTCGCCCGAATATCTTATCAAATTGAGAGTGTACTGGATCCCGGAATAACATATGGAAGAGAGAAATAGACCGTCGAAGGGGTCCAACTCCAGCAGTGGTAACGCCCGTCAGCCGGAAGGTTCAGGTTGCCGCCGGCGGGATACCCGACCTGGCCGTGCCGAGCCATTTGCTTCCGTGTGGCGTTGCCTGGGTATAACCTAGTTCGGCGATGTTCAAGCTCATCCCAAACCCTCACGAAGAGTACTCGCCGACTGCCTAAGTATTAATGAAGGCGTATTCCGTGTGGATCCTACCTTGAGGCTACGAGGCCTTCTTTCATCTATCAGTTCGCCAAAACGTGGCGCTGCGGACAAAGAAGCACCGAATCTGGATCGCGGCCCCGCTTACGAAGATGGGATATCATTGGCGATTGTATTGTGGCCGGTTATGTACGCGTTACACGCTAACCACATCCATCCCTCCCCGCTGTTGCAGATGCGACCAAACATACAAACTTGCTCTCGCTCGTCAACATCACCCTGGGTCTTGACAAACGTCTGAGAAGACCTGTCCGAGACTCATCTCGGCCTTCGCCCGTTGTCGTCCACACGCTCCTTTTCTTCTCATCCGTCGCAGTCCGCGCCATTCAGGTACCTTGTGCCTTGCTCGTTGCGACCGTTCAAGCCGCCCCGAATTTCTTGCGAAGCCCGCGGAGGCAGAGGCCGCACTGGGAGTACGTACTGATTCAATCACAACGAGCTCTCCTTCTCATCTTGTTCCTTCTCCCCCACCTACTTCCTTCTTGTGCATTTCTTTGGGATTCAGCCCCGGTCTTCACTGGCTTCGGGTTCTGTGTTAACTCTTCGGGTGGTGCGTGTACGTCTTCAGCATAGTATAAGCGACGGATTTAACAGTACCTCAAGGATGGCGTCGTATTCTGCTCCTGTGAACTTCAATGAAAGCGGACCGTCCTCTTACTCGCCTACCTCGCCTCGACATCAACAGCGGCAGTCCGTCGCGACCGAGGCGTCAGGCATCTCCGGGATTGCGGACAGCACCATCTCTTACAACACCTATGCTACTGGCATCACCGGAGAGTCTCTACGCCTATCCCAGCTGCAGTTTCCACCTCCACCCAGCACACTCCCACCCGGCACATCTCCAAACACACCGACTACGGCCACGCTCAACCTAGCGCATGGCTTTCCCTCCACTCCTTCCGCATCACAGGCCGCACGCCCTAACTTCAATCCTTCGCCCCTGCGCGGACCGCCATCCGTCGCGGGTTCTAGCGCGCCATCATCACCGGCAACACAACATCCCACATACCCTTCTCGGCTGCCTGTACCGCCTCCGCTGGATCCTGCTCCTACAGGGAGACGATTCACCCACACAGATACAGCCACAGTTGCGAGAGGCGGCACACCACCCCGCCAACTGTCACCGTACGATTGGCATGATGGTTCATCCACTATCGACCAGGAGCCGCCTGAGGGGCGCATGCTCAGCACCAATATCATCACCGAACTTCTCTCCTCTGCGGACTCGACTATGTCTGCTGGGAGTGAAACATCATACACCTACCCGCCGCAGCATGGGCGTGTCCACCGCTACCAACCCTCTCAACTGTCAGATATGACATATCCGCCGCCCGCTCGGACGTCTCCCCGTGCCGCAACACACCAACAGCTGGATGCGATCCATGATGTGCTGGCGAGCGCGTCTTCCGTCCCGCCCTCGACGGCACATGGAACGACCGATAACGAGACCATCGCGAGCTATGAGGGCACTGCGCAAGTTGTGCAAGTTCAGGGCCAGGGTCACCCGGTTAGCGTTGTGGGCATGGCGCCCGCGCGCACCGCGATGCTTCGGCATGTCGCGAGCGGCGATAGTGGGTTCCTTGCGTCGAGCATGTACACTGCATCCGGCCGCGACAGCCGCTCTACATACAACTCTGCGCATCCGCTGTATGGAAACCCTAATCGTCCGCTAAGCCGACTGGTGCCACAAGATGTCGACGAACCAACTGAGCCCACCGTTTATCCGTTCCCCGGAGCCGGAGAGGGTGGCATCTCGCCCGCGCGCGATGGTCCCAGCGGCAACTCGCCTGCGCTCAGCCGAACGCCCTCTGCGATGCGCACGCCCCGTCAACGACGTGTAAGCACGTACAGCCAGAAGAGCTTCAAGAGTCAAGTCAGTAGTTTCGTGAGTGCGGCGGGCGAGAGGACGGCCCGCGCAGCTCAACGCACACTCGAGTGGTTCCGCGTGAAGCCATTGCCGCCAGTACCGACGTTCCAGAACATGAGCATACAGGAAGAGGAGATGGCCCGCGCGAGAGAAGGCGCACAACCTTTACCGGCGCTAGCGATGCGTGCAGACAGACTCAACCATATGCTCGCACAAGGCCGGTTACCTGCGAACAGTATGTACTCCGACGGAAATGGGTTGGACATGGGCTTTGAGAAGATCGAGTACGACGAGGTGCAGGCTGCAACTACCGGCCGTTCGCGGTTCAGTAAAGGCACCGCGGGGCGCAAACGCCAAAGCGTCGGTGGCGCTGCTGCGTTCGCAGCCGCTACGGGGTACCCGGGCGAGGGCGACGTTAGCAGTCCTTCCAAGTCAAGGAGACACTACTTCTCGAAGACTATGACGAAGAAGCAGAAGATCAGGCTTGCTATTATTGTGACGGTCGCGGCCGTAATCGTCATTATTGCCGTCGTCGTCGGGATTGTGGTCGGGAGAAGTAAAAGTTCAGCGTCATCTTGTACGGGGAACATGGTTGGCAAAGACTGTTCGTTAGGTGAGTCTATGCGTCACAGATTGGAATAGTCACTAAAGCGCTACCCAATCAGATGCCACCTGCGTCTGCACGTCCTCGTCGTCTTCCAGTTGTAACGCCGTCGCTGCAAGCCTTGTGAACCTGCTACCCACCGTGAACGATATCTTTGCCGCAAACATGACCTCTTCGGACGTATCTACCTCGATGACGGCTGCATTCGGCTCAGTCGCTCATAACGACTGCTCCCAGCAAGCTCTCGTACTTGACGTCTCCCCGGTTCTTGGTAGCAGCACTCCAAATCGCACTGCTTGGGCTCAAGCCGCGCTCATGTGGAGTATGGTGCTGAGCCAAAGCGATTCAGACGTTGGCACCCTGCGCGACTTCGTGCGCGACGCGGACTGGAGTGCTATTGAAAACGTCGACGGGCCCATCACGAGCAAGGGAGCGACGTATCAGACCACCCAGCTCGGATTCGCGTTCGATTTCGCGGCTCAGACCGTAAGCGAGCCTGGTACCACATTTTCAGATGATGGGGAGCCTAGCAGCGAACAGCTTGCCAAGACGGATAGCACGACGCAGGCCGCTCTGGATAAGGTCTATACTGCCGCAGCGGGTCAGTCTTCTCTCTGTCTACGGCGGATGATATTCACTGCTGACTCATCGCCAGCTATGTCCTCGATGCAGGCGAATGCGATGCAGACGTACTGGCAATCTACCCTCCAACAAGACCCGAAACAGTACGCGACATTCCTCTCGCTCTTCGAGTCATCTCCCGTGCTTCTGCCCTTCAATGCCAACTCTACTCTATCGACCTTGCTCACCAATTCGACGTCCGACCCCTTTCCACCGCCGCAGTCGTGTAACCCCAGCATCAGCTCCTCTGATCTGAGCCAGCTGTCATCCGTCGAGACGATCGTATTTGGCCTCGCCACGCCGACACAACAATCCAAATTTGACTCGTCGTGTTTCCCCGACCGGCCCATCTATGGTCGCTTGGACTACCTGCGACTGCGTATGCCTTTCCTCGATGGAGCTGTAAACGCCACCACGCAAGCTGTCACCTTGAAACCCGCTGTGCGCCCGAGAGTGGTCGTGTCCAATGGCCCACAGTTCGCAACGCTACCTCTGGGCGAAGCACCTCGCACTGTACAAACCGACCGGCGGCGGTATGGGACCTTAAACCATATGAACCATATCCTCTTCGACTTCTTCGAAGCGATTGGTGACGTCACTGTGGCTTCTGCGCTGGTGCAGTACATCTTATCGCAGTCGTCATATCCACCGACGTCGAGCACCCTCCTCGATGCCCTCGATTCACTGCCCATCATTGAGGTTGCAGTCTTTGGCTCCGTCACGCCAAGCGATGTGTCGAGTGTAGTGTCAAGCTTCGCAAACCCTGAAGGCGGACTATGGTTCGGAACCGACCAGAGTCTATTGCTTCGACAGTGGGCCATCAACGGCGTGCAGAATGGCGGCGTCATGTGGACACCCAACGCGACTGCCGCGAAGGTTGTGCACGACACCAGCTTCACCGACTCGACGTTCAATAGCGTCTGGGATCCGGCGTACATGTTCTTCCATGCGAACACGAACTCAATCGTAGGCGTCAGCAATATCACTACTGCTTTCGAGTCTGTCGGCAAGTTCTCGCCATGAGCCCCTATTCCTAGTCCACCTACTACACGTACTCCTTATCACTCGCATCTCACTCACAAGCCACTCCATCTTTCCCGTCCGTACCTCCCTTCATCCCTTCATCGCAACTGGGTTCTTTGTTGACATACTTCTTGTTCTGGCTGTGGACTCTCACTCTTCGTTCGCTTTCCGTATTGCTTTGCTTTCGTCCTGCATATTCGTCTTCGTTCGTGCCGCATTTGTGCACATACTTTTTGGTTTCTTTCGTACCTGTTTGCATCGCACCCATCACCTCGCACATGTGGAACACCTTTCAGGACTCACGTCGTATGCACTACCAACACCAACTATATCGCGCCTACTTTGCATACATGCATCAGCCATTTTTCACACACCCTTTCAGGTGACTGTAGCGAGCTGGGCTTGGGAGACCGACCAGAAAATAAGACCGCAAGGCACCGTGAGAACCGGGTGGTCGTGATGTGGCGCCAGCCGTTGCATCTTCTCCCGCACCGTCACTTGGCTATTCGATCAACACTCCAGCCTCGCAGCGTTCGGACGTGGCGTGGACCCGTAGCGAAAGTGTCATCCAATTGGAATCGTCAATCAGCTGTAAGGCTATTTCTACATAATGGGAAGCGCCTTTCAGAATATCTAGTATGCAAGCGAGAGACTATTGGTGACTGCCGAAGTACTAGTCGCCCCCGACCACCAGGCGAGATTGAGACAAGCTCTCTTTGCACATCATAGATATAGAAGCTTGAAGCTTGAAGCCTGACACCCTCTACCATGCTCTACGATGGAATTTGACCGGCTGTCTTGAACCTCCCCGTGGAACCCTCGTTTACAGCACTGTACACAGACTTGCGAGGCTTTCCGGGATCAGGGCCCGGATGGCTATATGGACAAATCCCACGTGGGCATACCTTTGTTCCTCCATCTGAACATGCAACTTTGGCATCTGTCACTCAAGCTACGCTTGTTCAGGTTTTGATTGCGCGATGCTAGGCATGAAAGGGAGATACATGGCCGGGAACTGCCGGTCGGTGGCACAGCGCTGTGTCCGACTTGCCCCACTGTGTCCTCTTCTGATTACTGCCACTCTACTAATCACAGCTCTAAATCCCGTACACGCTCGTTTTACTCTTACCGGATACCACCTCTCGCAGTCTGGGACAGATGATATTGAACGGCTTCGAAGTCTATCTCAGCTCCGGTGGCGCTCGCATGGAAGAACATGTCAACGCTGAGAATCATGCATCAAGTAGCTCGGACACGATGACATGTAGCATTGGGAATCCTTCTGGAAAGGTGCGCCTCGATGTTAATTGCGGGCTGTGTGCGTTCGAGAACGATCGCTCAATGACCTGCAGGACGTTTCTGTCTCCGTGAAGGATCTAAACGAGCGTGGAAATGGTAGGTACAAGGCATTCACGGCCACGCTTTACGCAGAAGACCGTAAGATTGCCTGGAACGGCGAGATAAGAGAAGACGCGAGGCTATGCCTACTTGACCATGCGTTAGACGAGGACAGGCGCGAACATCGCTTGAGGTTCTCGGATGTTCCGACCACCCTTGACCATGGTACTGCTCGTCTTTTGTGAGCCACGATGTACCCAGGAGCTCACCACCATTGTCAGATGAAAGCAGCGAACTGGAGCCCCCGGAAATCTTAGATCTACTTGGATCGTTGAAGGTTGTCGTGCACTGGGCGAAGTACGAGACGAGGAAACAGAGTACGAAACCAGCAATCACAGATATTGATCATCGCCCTATCGTACGGGAGGTACGAGTTGCGTACTAACTTTTCTGTGCTCATTTTAACGCGACCCCTCTCGAAATAGCTGGGCGACCTGAGAGCCAGAGCTGGGAGGCAAGGATTCAGTATAATGACGTAAGTTGCCCCAAACTCTCCTAATCGAGTTGATCCTGAAGCGCGGATCGCGGACGACGTAGACTCGGCGAAGATAAACCTGCCAGTGAAGATTTTTTTGCAGGTGAACCCGACTACGCTGACGTCCATTGCTTCTCGCCATTGACGTGTCCGCACTGCCGATAGAGAAGCGTCCATGGGGGCCTGGCGGTGAATTGTGGTGGGCATGGACCTGGTATGAGCCCAAGACACTCATATTGGCGGCCACCTTCGTGTTTCGCCACCAGGGTCAAGTTCCAGGTGCGGTCTCGTTGTCGTGCACATCAACTTGCTGAAACGGAGACCATAGAGCGCCGGATGTCGGAACACAGGCCTGAAAGCGGGCTACAATATAATGACCCTCAGACACAACATGGCGGCATAGAAGACGATCTTTCGATGGCAGGTGGATCTGCTCGGGACGACGAGCCTCTCCTAGACGAGCGCCAAAGTACAGAAGCTAGTCCGGGCTCTCGTAGCAGTCAATCTAAGACTGGTGACCCTGAGCCTTACGATGATGGCTCTCCAGATGAAGACGAGATCATGAACGACTCGACGTCTGGCTTCGACGGGACAGACCTCGGTGAACTCAGCTTGTCCAGCCCAATACCCGATCCATACTCTCCGCCTAGATCCCCATCGTGCACTTCGCCGCATCTCAACGACGGTAACTCGCGCATTGGGAGGAAGCGAAAGCGTGACGACTCTGTCGACGGCAGCATGGACATCGAGGAGGATCTGGACAATGATGCCGATACACTGGAACCAGGACATCATACGGAACGGGTCAGTTATGCTCATACAGGTGCAAGAGATCATTGAGTGCTGATTGAGGCATGCAGTTGAATTGGTTGCTGGCCAAGAAGGAGTCCTTAGAAAGAGAGCTGGTGCATATCGATCTCGAGATAGCCGAGTTGCGTCGGCGAACGAGAAGGTGGAGGTCGCCCTCTGCACAGACCAACGATGCATTCGATAGCGATGGATGAGCGCTGTGAAGCCGATTGCGAGATTGCGAAGTGTTGCGTAGATATTTCGAGTTGCTTCAATATCATCTTCACATTGTGCCTGGAAGTGTCTTGGTGTTTTGCGTGTGCTTCACACCTCGAGCGATGTGGCGGAAGTAGACAACAATGTAAGCATAACAAACAAAACGGTACACAAGAATCAGATACAAAGATACAGACCCGATCTTAGGTGTTACAAGTCCCTATCCTCTATGGGCCATCGATATAGGTAGTTTGTCCGGGCACACGTTGACCGCACAGCAAGTCCGCACCATCCTAGACCGGCATCAACCTACGCAACAAAACCCCTTACCCTCGCCCAAGCCCACCCAATAACAGCCGGTACAAAGAAGCAATAGGCGTACAACACTTCCCACGAATACCTCGTCTCCAGTGGCACGTCCACCGCGCCACCAGCCTTGATATCCCCCGCTTTGGCATCGGGCTCCGGCGCGAACGTCCCCGTAACATGATACCTCTCCAACAGTTTGTCCTTTTGCCGCCACACCTCCCTCAGCCACAGATCGAACGCCGTAGCCTCCCCAGCCGGGACCTCCGCCTCGCCATCGGGCCTTCCGCTCGCATCCTTGGCTTCGCCGTCCTTCGCGTTAATTGATACAGGTGGGTTGGAATCGTATTTTACAAATCCGATGGGTACTTCGGAGCGAACGTCAAACTTGCGGACGTGCAGATGTATAGTGGGAGGGGGGACGCCCGAAACGAACACGCTGCGTAGCGTGTAGAAATCCTGGCCCCATCCCGCATAGGGTATGCCGGGATATGCCATCGTGATGTCAATCAACTGCAACCCGGGTACCCTCGGCGCTAGCGCGCGCAAGCTATACAAGAGCCCCGTGCTCCTCGGCAATAATAGATGCGTCGTATCAGGGATGCCTAGTTTATCCGCGTATTTCTTGCTTATCGGTCTTGTGTCGCGGGAGACCAGAGTGCCTTCGGGATATAGGATGAATGTGAGAGGTGAAGAGGTGTTCTTGGCTTGAGACGCAACGCGCGCGAGGCCTTGAACGAGGGCTACGCGGTCCGAGGCCCAGGAGCGCGCGAGGAATATGAATTGGAAGAACTGCATGCCCCAGCCGAGGATGGGGAGGTATTTGAGGGACTTCTTGAGGACGATGAGCACGTCTTTGTGTGTGCCCATAAAGTACGTCAAGCACCAGGCATACCACCAGTCCGGATAGACCTGTGAACATCATGTTAGGAGGTGTGGCGCAGAGGTGTCAAAGGGGGGCACGCACTTGGTGATTGGAGATGAGGACCGCGCGTTTGGGGAGATTGAGCCCTGAGATCTTGCCCCGAGCATCCAGAATGAGCATGCCGTCGAGCTCCTCGTCGGTAAAGGCGCCCGGGCCCTCGCGCTCGAATGTGACGTGCATCTTGGTGGGCGCGAACCACTGGCACATGATCACTACCCTAGGATCAATATCCCTGTACATCAACAGACACGGTTTGGGCAACGCACGGAGTAGAGTACCGAATGCACCCTTGGATTCACGTATGCCAGCGTCATACAAGCGCCGTGCGGACGCAAAGGGCAGGAGGCGCAGGGGCAGGAGCACGAACTGGCTGCCGTTCACACAGACGATGCCGACGAACCAGGCGATTGAACAGGCAAAGGCTATTACTGTGCGCGTCCATGTCAACTTTGGCCTGTCGGCGACGGGCAGCTTGTAGACGGGGCCTGGCATGGTGGAGGCTGGGAGGGAAGCACGCTGTGGGCTTGCGCGTCAGTCAGGCGGCGGATGGGGAACGCGGGATTAGACGCCGGGCGAGAGTCATAGTCTATTGTCAACGGAGGCTGTGTCGTTCAGAGCGACGTATACAGTCCCAGACAGGGATGCGTCCACACGGGTCAACAAAGCGAGCCTATCAGAACTGGTTGACATGGGAGGAGTGAATCGAGATTCGGTCGCCACGTCGGGTTCGATGAGTGTGGTAAGTTGGCAATTAGCTGGATGAAATGGCGCGGAAGACGCGGACACTTGCTCCGTCTTAGCCGACGTCCACGACCTTGACGGTCTGCTAGGACTACTAGCTCACTCTCCGACGCTCCGCCGCGTCTTATCGCTCGTTTTACATCTTTCTCGAGTAATATCAGGCCCATGCCGCCGCCGCGGGTGGGCGTGCGCCGCAAGACGTCCTCGCCAGAACGGACCCAGCACCTGTCGTACTTTGACCGATACCCGCAGAACCGGGCGGCTTCTTCCTCCACACTCTCCCCGAATTTATCCCACCGCTCGGCCGCGACCTCCCCGCGGTCGTCGTACGCGGGCGGGGACGAAGAGTCTGAGGACGAGGAGGACGGCGACGACGAGCGCTCGCAGTACGCTTTCCCGCTCGTCGACGTCGCGAGCGGGCTCAGCGGCGAGGCCACGCCCAAAGCACGGACGCGCAACGACCGAATATCCGTCTCGTCTTCTCTTTCCCAAGTCGAGACGCCGCCGCAGACGCCGATCGACTTCTCGGTTCCAAGACAACTTGTCGTGAATCTGACAGATGTGGGAGAAATGGACGCCATGGTCGACGGCCTGAACGGCTTTGACCACGACTCGGACCTCTTCTCTTCGGCTTCCAGTGCCAGATCGCCCAGGAAGGATCGCTTCCATCCCCTCTACGCGCCGCCGCTGCCGACGCCGCCGCCGGGCATCAAACTCGGCGGCGCAATGCCGCGGCCAAAGAAGGAAAAGCCACTGCCCCGTTCGCCGTCCATCGCATCCCTGCGCCCGCCCAGCGCGCGGAGCGCCGGTGCATCCACTTCGACGCTGACACTCGACGGCCCGCCCTCGCCCGCGCCGTCGTCCTACGTGCCTCCCAGCCCCACTGCGCCGCCCTCCCGCCGCAACTCGCGCTCCATGGCCCCCTCTATCTCAGACATCATCCGCGCACACGCACCACCTGAGCAGCAGGTCCGCTCGCGCCAGACCAGCGTCCGCACCTCGTTCCACGGCCATGCCGTACCAGAAGAATCCGAACCAGAGCCTGTGCCAGACACAGAAGGCGACATGCTCACGCGTTCGTCCGTGGACAGTATTGCAGATGAAGTGGCACGAACTCTACGCGTCCAGTCCACTTCGCCTGCTCATGCTGTCGCGCCTGCACCTCCACAACCTGGACCGTACCTCCGGTCTACTGCACCGTCACGTTACTCGGTTGCGAGCGAGAACGCTGCTTACGGATACGGCGCACAGTCGCTCGACGGCGCATCAACTTCCAACCTCACTCGGATGTCATTCTACAGCTCCCCCGCAGCCGTCAACCGACCCGAGCGAGAGGAGCCGCCACCCATTACTCTACCGCCGCCGCCCAAGCCGACACAAGAGCAAAGCATTGCACAGTACCTCAAGTCACCCAGACTCACGACACTGCTCAAGCTTACCCGCGCACCCCATGCCGGCCCGGACCAGCCTCTCACAGTCAGCCTGTGCGATCTGGGAGCACCGAGGGGCGTGCCCTTACTCGTGTTCCTCGGATTGGGAACCGTGCGTTATATGCTCGGCCTGTACGACGAGATGGCAGAGTGCCTTGGGATCCGGCTTATTGCTATCGATCGCTGGGGTATGGGCCGCACGGATGCGAAGCACAAGGGCGCAAGAGGAATACCAGAGTGGGCAGGAGCTGTGGAAGAGGTGCTGGATAAGTTGGGTATTGAGCAGACTGCTGTCATGGCGCACAGTGCGGGTGCTCCGTACGCACTCAGTTTTGCTGCCCGCGCACCACGACGTGTCCGCGGCGACGTCTGTCTATTGGCACCTTGGGTAGGCGGCGTCGAAGCTTGTAAGCGATCTTGCTCTCTCACTATGTCCCTATAACTAACGCGTTGTTACAGCTGGATACAAGTGGCTCAAATACGTCCCAAATGGCCTTCTCAAAGCCGCTCAGGGCGCAGAGTGGAAGATCCAAGCATGGATGCTCGGCAAGCCTCCAACGATCCAGTACAAAGGCATCGGCTACTCAATGCCCACTTCGGCGGCGGCTACATCCGCACCGCATTCTTCGCCTTCGTTATCGTCCACTTCTACCTCCATGTCAAGTCGTAAGCGTGGCACGAAAGACAAGGACTCGCGACCTGGGACGGCTCAACTGGCGAACTCGCCTATCACACCAACACAAGCCCGTCCCTCCACCGCTTCCTCGCCCAAGAATAAGAGGAGCGGCAGTGCGGATGGACGACCGAGCACGTCGAGCGTCTTCAGTGACTACGATGATTTACGAGATTTCGATGGGCGCTTCGACTCGCGGTCTACGCTTGGCCGACCATCGACGTCGTCGAATCCTCGCGTTCGCGCCTCGTCCGAAATCAGGCGCCCTGCTATCCCACGCAAGCCTTCACGCGGATTTTTGGGGATCGGCGGCATGCTGTCCAAGAACTCCCATTCACCCACGAGCTATGCGCCACCGAGTCAAGGGCAAAGCGCTGCTACTGCGCCGAGCTCACCCGTAGTACCTCCTCCGCGGCGACCTGCTCTAAAAGCTCTTAGGAGCATGGGTAGCTTGAGAGGGCGGTCAGGCAGAGCCTCGCAGACGCAGAGGGTTGAACCCGAAGTAGAGACGCCGCCTGTACCGCTGAAACTGGACGTCGATGTCGGGCTCGGGCTTGATGGTGATGGGTGGATGGATACCGTACGAGCGAAGTACGCTCCCCCTGCTACCTCATCATCCTCGAATTCGCCTGTGCGGTCTGGGAGCAATGGCTTCGGGCATGGCGGGACGAGGGATGGTGGTCGTAGGAGCATCAGCTTGACGGGTGGTGCGCCGTTGGCGTTGGAAAGGAGTCGCGAGAGGGATGTCAGAGGGAAGGAGAGAGAACCTGAACCTGCTAGTCCTGGTATCACCGCCAGTAGCGCGTATCAGGCCGCCCTCGGTAACGCGCTCATCGCTGCCAGCCATGCCGAAGCCCACGCGCGAGGGACACATGCCGATCTACTGGCCATCCTGAACCATACTGGCGCACCCTGGGGCTTCAGCTACGCTTCGTACCCGCATGCCGTACGTGTTTGGTATGGCGATAGGGACGAGAAGATTGCCGAGCATGCTGTGAGATGGATGGAGAAGGAGATGAAGAGCGCCGGGAAGGGTCGATGCGAGGTTAAGGTGGTCAAGGGCGCGGACCATGGGTTGATGTATAGGAGTAGTGTTGTTATTGAGGTGCTGGAGCTTGTAAGGGATGCGTGGGGTGGTGTTGATGGTGACGCCGACGCTGGTACGTATGCTCGACTGGCTTAATTTGGTGTGCGTAAACTGACGATGAAGTAGACTCCACTCGACGGCGTCGAACCATGACAACACACTAGTCTCTCTCTTCTCTCTCTCACTTCGTTCCTTCATTTGGATCCCCTCATTTCTTGGTACTTACCCTTGTCAATGCACTGTTGATACCCGTCTTGTCCTCCCACATACCTGTGCAATACCCTCTCATTCACACATTCTACTTGTATCATTTCTACGTCGGATATCCGGAAGCTTATAACCCTCTATTGCCCGTGTTTCCATCTGCACCCGTCCGGATCGTCCCTAGCGCTCGCTGATCTTTGTCTTCACGTTGTTCTGTTCTGACAGTACCATAGTGCATCTAATTCATCGACCTGTTTGTGTTTTACTGCTCGCGTTCACTTGGGCCTGGCCATTGTATAGGTGTGTTAGACAAAGCCTTGAAGGGCGCTTTGTAACGTCAACGAAAACGAGTGCATGATCGACATCAGGGTCGGTAACCGCTTACAGACACGTCGACCCTAACCCTAATGCGCAGTTGACGGTGACATGGAGCGCTGTGGGCGCCCACCGTCACTTGTTCATTCTCAAACTGCCATCGGCTTGCTTGCCTCTCTCGCTCAAGCATGTCGCGCCGCCCCATCAGACATCCCAAACACCCATTGGGACTCTTTGTCACAGGATGGGGGCTCGTGCGCGACCGTTTGGACTCGATTTCATCACGAAAAGTCTCTTTGAAGGGCGGCCAGGCGGAAGTCACGCCAGCGCTCATCCATCGACTTCCACCGGAGATACTGGCATATGTCTTCGAGATCCTGAGCGACATCTACCCTGTACTGGGAGGTACTTCTCGGCAGCCGTTGTTCTATAATAATTGGCTCGTTGTCACCCGTGTCTGCGGCCACTGGCGCCGTATAGCTTTTGACCACGCCGTTCTATGGACAGTCCTCAGTCCTAGCATTATTGATCATCCTTTACTTTGCCGGTTCTGGCTCGAGCGCTCTAGCTCTAAGATGGACGACACACACGACGATGGGCCTTCGAGCAACCTCGCTTATCCACGAGGAACCATGCCGTTGGTCGTATGGACGGATCTGAAGGCCACGGAAACGTGCATGGCCTTATTGATGTACAACATTCACCGCATACGGGAGCTCAAACTCTTCTTCGAAACGGGACGGGCCTCACCTAACGTCATGATCTCCGTTATACAGCATCTACAAAACCGGGATCCTGTACCACAACTACAGGGAATCGACCTTACGAGTGGCGTCGATGACTTGCCATCTTCCTCGCTGTGTTGGAAGATTCTGTCCAGACTTCTCATGTCCGCCTCTGCTTTGCGTACCTTGGCGTTGAGCAGGACTTGGTTCTCATGGGCGGACATGGGGGTAGGAGCGCTCAACGGTCTCCGCGAGTTACGGCTAACGAGCTGCGAACGCGTTGGCCGCACCACGTTCTCAAATGTTGTGGATGCTTTGCACCACACACCGGCTCTGGAGTACCTCGTCTTGCGCGGAGTGATACCTTCGGACGGTTCAGAGCTATCCCATTCCTATCCAACCATCTCCTTGCCGAAGCTTCGTCACTTGAAAGTCGATGAGGACGGAGCGCAGGGTCTTCGGCTGTGGTCCCTCATTGAGTCCCACCCCGATGCCATAATGGACGTTGACGCCGGCCTTACCAATGCGCAGACGATCATCCCCATGGCGAGCCCCGCTCTCGCGCACTTTCAGGACCCACACCCTTTATCCTTTCAAATCGTTTCCAACGTGACTGTCGTTGTCTATTTGGCCCGAGACGGAATGCCAGACAAACACGACGCAAAGGCGACACCTCAGCCTCGGTCTCGCCTCAAGCTCTCGCTGAGAGTGTACGGGTTGGATTCTCGCGACGAAATTCGGACAAGGGATACTCTTCGCACCGGCCTCATGGGCGCTCTACCATTACACCGAATCACCCATCTCGTGACCCGTCGAGATGATGGGCATGAAACCGAAGCGGATTTGCCGCCCTCCTGGATGGTCCGCTTGACCGCCCTTGAACGTATCTCGGCGAACTGTCTCCGTCCAACGGGAATCCACAATCTTGCGCGCGCGATATGTCCGAGTCCGCCAGGGGACGACGTCTCCGAAAGCTTGCCAATCCCGGCTCCAGCGCTCCAGAAGCTGACCCTCTTACACTGCAACTTCGACGAAGATAGCACCACAGCACTCTTGGACGCTCTGGATCAACGTACAGATGCGGGGCGTTGATTGGAGGAGATGGTGCTCAAGCGCACCGTATTTGGTCAGGATCGAGTTGCACGTTTTCAGAGTGCTGTGGCTCTCGTTCGCTCGGAAGAGTAGAATCTATAACCAATCTCAAACCCCGTTTCGGGAAGGATATAATCGCTTCGTATACTTCATCATACTCCTGCTGCTTTCCCATGCACGTACCGTGCTCTCTCGTCCACCTAACTACATATTCACTTTTGCATTAGTAATCTGACCCCTCCTGCAACGTCCCAGTACTATATATAATTAACCTCTCGATATTTCTCAGCTTCTGTATGCGATGAGTGGGGCAGGGCGGCGTAACATCTACTTGATATCCAGAGCCTGTAGTCAACAGTGCAGTCATTAGCGATGGCAATAGCATCGATCTTCCGGAAGTTGGCCATCGTAGACGACGTGCGGAGGGATCTCAACATGATCGAGATCCATGAAGGCGCCTGGCAACGCGCTTGCGCGATAGATGATGACCTCATGAAATGTGTGGGAGAACCAATCCTCGTGGCGCCGGCGCTCTGATGCCCAGCCGAGCGCATCAACTTCACCTTCTCCCCAACCTCTGTGACCCGCTGTACACCACGATTCAGAGTCGCTTGTTTGCGCTCCCGACACTACTCATGCAACCTGCGCAACCATGGAGTCTTCCTCCGGAGATACTGGCAGCCATTTTCGAGCATCTACGTGCACTTTCACCTGTCGGTGATATCGAGAACTACCGGTCACCCTTCACCAGTACGTGGCTCTCTGTCAGCCATGTATCGCAGCTATGGCGTGCTGCATCTCTAGGACACACCATGCTGTGGACTACTATCACTTCGGGAATCATGGCTCATATCGAGCTCTACAAACTATTCCTACAACGATCAGGCGCCGCTCTTCTGGACGTGGACGCCGGAGTAGCGCAGGACTGGCCATCGCAGGTACAATATCTACTGAAGGAGGTTCACCGTGTGCGGCGCCTCAAAATTGTGGTCGACTCACACGATCCTCTGACCTCGGCGCCAGCTATCCCTTTCGTGAACATGGTCAACCTCATGGATAACATGGATCCCGCGCCGTGCATGCTCAGCTTCGACCTCGCGCCCGTATATCACTCGATGGCCAACGAGATATCCTATCAGGCTCCTTTGCGCATGATCAATCGCATACAACTCGCCGCTCCTGCACTGCGCAGCCTATCGCTTAGCTGCACTCCTTTCTCCTGGGCAGAGGCTAGCAGCAATCTGCGCGAGCTTACTTTGGACATGATCACAATACCCGGCGCCTCGATCAATGATATATTGGACAACCTTCGTCGTATGCCATTATTGGAAAAATTGGCGCTATCCCATGCCTTACCAGAGGACGACGGTCATCCCGAAATATACCCCGTGGTCCACCTCCCTCGGCTCCAGGTTCTTCATTTGGACGAAGACGGAGATGCTGGCACGCATTTTCTGCAGCTGTGGTCGTCAATCGAAGCTCATCCCGAGAACTACACACGCATTGTGGGCTCATCTGCCACTGCGGAGCTCATCCTCCAAGTTGCGGCCCGCGCCCTATCGCGTTATTCTTCCACAGCCGGATATCTATCCTGCCCTCTGTACTTACAGGTGGCATTCGAGGTCGAAATCAAGCTCTTCTTTTGTCCACTTGGGACCACAATGCAGCGCATGTCGCTTGAGCAATCGTTCTTGCATCCCGGACTTGAGCTCTCTTTACTGGAAGAGTTTGAGTCTACTCACGTCAGAGGATCTGGCCATATGAACCTCTGGTCAGGCCTCGCCGCAACGCTTCCTCTTCAGAGGGTTGTTCATTTACACGTACCATACGACGACGTCGATGGGACAGAAACGAGAGAAATTGCTACATTTACCCGGCGCATGACGAGCCTGGAGAGGCTTTCGTTTGAACACCTCCACCCTATCGGACTCGAATACATATCGCATGCGCTCTCGCAGTCGCCACAATCCTCTGGTGGATCCCTACCCCTACCCGCACTCAGGAGGATAGATCTTCAGTTCTGCACATTCGATGCGGGCAGCGTCGAAACCCTGTTGAATGCGCTCGCTCAGCGGGCACAGGTTGGGTTGAAACTTCACCAGATGACAGTCGGATTCTCTGGGTTCGGTGAGGAATGGTTGGAGCGATTTGAGGAGGTTGTCTATAATGTTGGGTGGGACTATGAGCCCCTGCCGCCTGAGTAGTTTAACGTAGTAAAAGAGTTAAAACCAAACTATGCGATTCCCTCAAGACAGCTCGTGCTCGGCTAGAACTTGATGCAAGATGATTGTCGGGAGGACATATTTGAGCGCCGCGAGTTGAGATAGTCTGTGGGTAAGCGTTCAGTACGTTCGCTTGTTGTCGGTCGAGGCTTTCGCACCGATTCTCCGGGCGCACGGGCATGCGTCGCGCGCCTTAAGCCTTCTTGTGCCCAGACATCATCAGACATTGACACAGCTACCGAGCCGGATGTAGCTTGGTTGTTCTAACCTTTACGCCCATGACTGGCAACTCGCCGACCTAGTTCTTCTGTACAGCTGTGCCTGTGAGTGATAGGGCGAAAAGACCTTCCGCGTCGCGGTGGCGTTGATGATGCATATTGCGCGGTGGCACCCCATCAGCGCTTCAGCACCTTGCCTGTGTACCACCATCATCGCAGCCTCGCTTCGTTGCTCATGTCATGAAACAGCAAGTCGTTGTCGTTGATAATGGAGCACATACCATCAAAGTTGGGTTAGCAAGTACGTCTTCGCAGGACGCAAAGTGACTACGTGCCGTATTCGTGTGACGGACGCGATCTGAGAGTACGCGCGGCAGAGTCTTCCCGAACGCAGTCATCAGATCCAAGGGAGACAAAACCACCTATTACGGATCCGACTTCGCGAACTGTAAGGATGCTGCGAGTCTCAACTTTCGCCTGCCCTTTGAGAAGGTATGCGAACAGTTGTGTAACAGTTTGCACCCGTATACAAGAATTGAACTACGGGCCTCAGGGCTTCATCGTCGATTGGGATGCTCAGAAGGCTATATGGGACGGCGTTCTCAGGGAGGACTTCCTCGGGGTATGCCCTTCCTGTTCTTACCCTGTTTTATACATTCTCATACAGGATTAGGTGGACCCAAGCGAGTCTACTTTGCTCCTTACCGAACCGTACTTCAACCTTCCAAACTTGCAGACGACCTACGATCAGTTCGTATTTGAGGAATACGAGTTCGACGCATACTACCGATGTGCTCGTATGTGGATAAAGTGCACACAAGCCGATTTTTTACGAACACTGATGGAAATTTTCTTTCAGCTGCAGCACTTATTCCATATGGTACCTTGTTCAAGGCCAAGGGACAGCCCAATCCCGAATGTGTTCTTGTCGTTGACACTGGATTCAGTTACACGCACATTGTACCACTGATAAACGGTGTCGTGCAATGGTCGGCGGTCAAGCGGTACGAATGCCATCACTGCTGTTTGAGCCACTCTTAACGCGCACGACAGTATAGATGTCGGCGGGAAGCTCTTGACCAACCATCTGAAGGAGCTCGTCTCGTACAGACAGTGGAACATGATGGATGAGACGTACATCATGAATGAAGTCAAAGAGGCTTGCTGCTACGTCTCACAGGACTTCAGTGCGGACTTGGAGATCTGTCGGTGCGCGTCCTATTTGTAAGCGTGAAGAGGAGAATCTAACTGGATAAATTTGTAGGAAAGATACGAAGTCGAACAGTGTTGTGCAGGAGTACGTTCTGCCGGATTTCACGTCGAACAGACGTGGTCGCGTCCGAGATCGGGATGAGATGCCCGTCGATTCCGATCAAGTGCTCTACATGGGTAATGAACGCTTCTCTGTTCCGGAGGTACTGTTTCAGCCGGATTATCTGGGTACGTGTATGCAGTCACTCTGCCTGAGATGACGCCTCTGAAGCATACTTCTAGGTCTGCGACAAGCAGGGCTGGCGCCTACTATTGCTCAATCCATTGCGCTCCTTCCCGAGGAGCTTCAGGGCATGTTCTGGGCCAACATTGGGCTAATTGGTGGCAACAGTAAACTTCCAGGCTTGGCCAAGAGGCTGTGAGTAATACATGTCTCGTGTGGCGCCATACTAAGCAGATTACAGTCGTACTGAGCTACGGCCGCTAGCGCCTAGTGAATACGAAGTCGTTGTTCACGAATCTAAAGAGTGAGCGGGCCGCACAATGCCTTACCCAATCGGTATTCCACGAGATCTGACCCTTGACCACAGCTCTATACTTGAAGTATATCGCGCAGGTGTTGCGTTTGCAAAGACTGCATCCTTCCGTAACCACATCGTCACACGCGAAGAATACCTCGAAAATGGAACTGACGCATGCCGACGCAAGTTCAAGGACTGGAAAGGAGGGAAAGATGCCGTGAAAGGGAAGAGTGGGATACTCGATGATCACGGTGACGAGCTGGACTCATCGTCAGATGGAGCAAAGCCGATCAGGACGAGGACGAGGACGGTTTCGACAGTGAAGAGAAGGTAGCACTCCGCCATGCATACGTCGGAGTATATAACATAGTCCTTCGTATACTGTAGACACTGCTAACTTACCTCTTCTTAACACCGTGAAAGGCTGTACAGGGGTTGTATAAGCCTTTACAGTACGCGTGACGTCACGCGCCGGTGATCTCCGAGCGTGACTTAGGAGGCAAGTCAAGCAATGTTCGACTAGGCTTCATGCCTCGCCACACCTATGCCGCCCCCTCCCCTCCCTTTCCTCATCGATGAGCAGCATGCATAATCCGTTTAGTGCCGTGAGGGGAGATAGAGGGGATGGACTTGGGTCAGACTCGGAGGGGGAAGGCCGACAGTGCGTCACGGAGCTTGCTAAAACTGGTCCACAAAGCTAATCATGCCTTGCTGCGTTACAGAGATCCTCTTTGGGGAAAGAGACACTCTGTAAGCTATTATGCTTCTAGAATATCTAGATAAGACTGGCTTACGACTGAAATGTAGTATAATAGGGGCTCAGTCGACGCAGATTCGGATTACGGTACCCCGCAACCGCAACGCAGGACGACCGCAACAGCATCGCAGTGGGCCAGCAGCGTCTCCCCAAGTTCGGCTCAGAACACAAACTGGCAGCCTACTCCCACGATATCTCCAGAGGTTCCTCAAGTCGATCCAATCCCCGTCGTAGATCGGCCGCTACAACCGCCCAAACCGAAGCGCACGAGAGTCAAGGGAGGGCGCAAGAACGGCAACGCCAATACAACGGGAGGCGCCACCAATCTGGCCGCAGGCGGTAGCATGCAGCCGATAATACCTCCCTCGCTGGTACCAGCCACACCACAGTCATATTCCAAACACCGTCGCCAGCCTGACGACCCGTCTACCGACCTATTCCAGTTTCCCGAACTCTCCATGCCGGCCGCGAGCAGTTCTTTTGCTCAGAAGAAATATCCCACCAGCTTGTCACGAACCCATTCCGGTGCCAGGGAGCCTTCCCGCGATCCCAGACGGAATCCGAAGCAGTCATCGGCAATCGACTACTCCTTGATGGACGAGGAGGCTGGTTCGCTCATGCAACACGACTTCTCGTATGACCAGTTGACATCCTCACAACCCCACGCTAAGAACTCCGACGAAAAGAGACGACCAAGTCCTCTACCTCTCAATGCGACACCGTTTGCGTCAGGACATCGTGGGCCCACAAGCGATTCGCAGTGTCCCGCGCCCGCAGTGCCGTCCACTCACGCTAGCGCTCAAGGCATGCCTCCACCCCCTTCCCCTACTCGTTCGGAGGTCAAGCGCAAACTGCTTACCATACTCATTGAGGACAAACGTAGCGATGGGATGGAGCTCGCCGAGATCCGGGTCCCTCTTCAGCCGCGCGCGGAAACTTTATGGGTCAAAGCTGCACAAGTCGTCGAGAACTTGCAGAGCGGCCCTTCTCGAATCGACGGCCCGTGTAGAGTGCATGCCATGCGTGGTCATTTCAGACAGACTTTCCTGCGGATTGAGCATGATGGGCGTGAAATTTACGACGAACAGCAATCGTTGCAAGTCGTAGAAGATGGGCGGGGGAAGACTCTGAGCATATACATTGAATCGGTACGATTGCTTCTTCTGCTCGAATAGATTCGGTTGATTAACACAGAGAGTAGATTCCAGTCCCCCGGACCAGCACCCCCGTGTATTCGCGCGTATCTCACGAACCTACCGCACTACACCTGACCACCGACCCCTCGTCACAAATGCCGTTGACACCTCATTCCTCGGGCCCCAGCCCGTTACTGGCCCATACGCAACAGAAGAGGAGAAGGATGGCGAGTGCTCGTGACATTTCTGCTGCGCCGGAAAGCACTATTCCCGACTACAGTACCGACTACGGACACCATGAGGTGCCCGAACAGGGTTACGCAGAACCTCGGGAGCTCTATGAGTCGTCGCTACCATCCTCATCCCGCAAGCGCGTGAAATCAAACGCACAAATGCTTAGGGCCGCCCCATCTCCATACGCGACAACGCCAGCTCAGGATTCTGCTAGGTCGCAGCCAGGACGGGCTCGCTCTGAGTCGCGCGCAGCTAAGACTTCTCAGCCCACACCAACACGTGAAGGCGATACATACGGCGCACCGTCCCCACAGCCATCAGCCAGTCGACACGCGCCCGCGCATCGACAGTTGTCTGCCGATTTTGATGCGCCTCCCACGATCTCTGCACTTGCGAGGGCGGCTAAGAGTAATGGGAACACGCTTGGTATGGGACTACCGTCTGTACGAATGCCTCCTAGTCGTGGTGCTCAAGGGCAGGCGCTTTCAGCAGTGGCACCCACTCCCGAAGTCGTAGAAATCTCATCTCGCGAGTCTTCGCCGGAAAGAGGTCATGGCCCCGGTGCTTCACCGTCCTTCTCTCAAGCATCGGCAGCAGCCGACTTTCATGCACCCACTTCATCGACTTTCTCCCCAGCACCGCTCGAGCCTTCGCAACCTCCGGACGACTTCAACCCGCTTCCTTCGCCCGCGCCGGCTCAAAACGAACCTGAACCCGAACCCGAGCCTCTAGCGCAGCCCAGTCCGCCCCCTGTGGATCCAGCTATAGCCCACCTTCTGCCGCTAGACATCTCACCCACAACCTACGTCGCCTCCGAGATGCCCACTTTCGCCGACAACATCGATCAAATGATGGCCGCTCGCCTGACCAACACGCTCAGAATGGACGGGTTCGGTTTCAAGGACTTCCAAGAGAAGCTGACTGCGGGACAAGCGTTGAGTAATGAGCGTGCGTTGCATTGGTATAGATGGGTACACGAAAAGGTGCAGAAGTATGCAAATGAAACTGCGAGAGCGCCGGCGGAGTGTGAACGGCGGTTGGTCGAGCCGGTACGTTCATCACTCAGGGTCTATCCCCTAGCTTCTGTACTAAAACAGACTCCCATCGATAGAAACATGTCCTGGCGGCCATGCAGGTCACTGAGGAATGGTACGGGATCGTACGGGAGACGCTCTCAATGATGATGGCGTATGGCCCTGGTGGCCAGCGCGGCGCCAACCCTCGTGTGGTACAAGCTGCCACTGACAAGAAACCGAGAGACGCCCGACTCGGCGTTGTGCGCTGGACGCATCTATTACTTCTCCTACGGGAAGTCCATGACGAATGGTCAAGATCGCAGAATGCCCCGCGCGAATGAAAGGATTGTTATGTATATTGCTATTGTCTTGCTGACATCATTGCTCTCTTCTCGCTTAGATAACTTGCTATCTATTGCTCCTAGCTATCATCACATGTTGAATACACTGCTGTTTGTCTCTTCGTCGATCCCTCTGACAGATATTTACAATGTAAACCCATGAGTGGTGATTCAAAGCGCAAGGTATATAACTACACAAATGGCATCGTTTTCCTCTTATAACTGTCCGGTCGTAAGTGTCACGATCTAGATGAACTCCTTTGGGCGAGTGGCTTGGTCGCCACCAGCCTCGTCGTAGACAAGACCGGCCACGCGGAACGCAAGCTCTGCGATTATGTGTCAATGACAAGCGAAAGGACCCATCGCTTTCAGCACATACCGTCAGCCTGGGAGCGAATCGTGGCCTCCGCATACACACGCACGACGTCCTCCGTGCCACTGGGCCTAACGAAAGACCGTCCGCCTTCATAACGACGCACAAGATCGTCGATCTTTGCCTGAAGACCTTTCGGGCTGACGAGGCGGCGCTCGGCGTCCTCGGTCTGGAATGCATGACGGTCACCCACAACCACCTTGACAAGACGGTTAGGCAAGTCCATGTAGAGCGAGTCCCACTCCTCGCCGGAGTACGACTTGTGCGTGAGGATAGCCTCGACGAGAAGCATGTCGGAGAGCGCGTCACCGACGGTCTGGTTGACTACGGCGACGAGATTACGGAGGTGGTTGAGAGCGGTAGACTGTGCGGGCGTCGAAGGTTCGTGCGTTGCCAAGAGTTCCTGTGTTGCGGGAGAGAAGAGGACAGTGCCATGGCCGTTAGCTTCGAAGTAGACGCCGACATCGTAGCGCTCTGCCGCGTGGTGGAGATGCTTGACGCCCGTCGGTACACAACGGACCGGTAGGCGCTAATGGCACAATTCAGTCAGCGCTTACACATACTTGGCAGAGATAACAGTGTTCACCTCAGCAAGATACTTGGTGGAGGCGCCATTAGCGTAGGCTGTCTGCACAACACCGAGCTTGATCTCGTCATGAAGGCCGGCGTTCTTGACGAGCTCGACGATGAAGGCGGCAACTAGGGCGGCGATCTTATCGCCGTCTAGCATGTGGAACTGCTTGCGCTCGTCGAGGTAGTAGTACATCAAACGATCGGCATCGCCGTCGAAGCTAGCGCCGCGCTGTCCGGCCTCGAGCTTGCCGACGAGAGAAGGGGGCAGCTTCTGCGAGGTCTTCACATAGTCGGCGCCACAGGCATTGTTGAGCGCGCCGGGTGTGGTAATGTCCGTGTTTATGGCGATCAATGGGAGGACCTCGCCGACGTAGGGGACGATCTTGGTGACAGCGTCGACGCCGACACCATTGGCACAATCAACGATGAGCGGGGACTGGGGTTGCTTACCCGCCTAATTCTCGTGTTAGCTGAGGCTACGAGATGTATATGGAGCATACTGACCACAAGTTTTCTGTAAGCAGTACCGAGCTTACTGTAATAGCCTTCCTCTGTGTCTTCGCCGTATTCGTCCTTGGTGCCCTTGGTGTTGATCGCACGTACAAGGTAGTGAAGGATGGGCGTCGTGACCACACCAGCATCGCGCGTCTCCGCACCAATGGCCTTGAAGCCATCCTCCAGGGCAGCCACAAGTGCAGGTCCAGAAGGACGCGTGTCACGACCGTACACAACGTGAGCTGGCTTGCTCATGTCGATCTTGGCCGACTTGATGAACGCCTCGACAGTCTCGACGAATTCCTCGGTAGAGGCAGCGTTGGCAAAGGCAGTCGCATGACCCTCCCAGGCGGCCTCCAACATGTCGCCGCGGGGATCGACAAGTTTGACGCCATTGTCCTAATACGGGATCAGCGATTCCTTACGCGAGGCAGTGTGGCGATCCGCGTACAGGCTCGGGGTTGTGCGATGCGGTCACCATGACTCCGATAGTCTTACCGTCCAGCCTACGGCTACGGAGACCAGCGAGCACGCCTACACGAAACAAGACAGAGTCCAAGATACTGGCCCTGGGATTGGTTAGCACAGGTGGCTCAGCGGTGGTAATAGATCCGCGGTTCGAACGTACTTGGTTCTGAAGCCGGCTGTGCCATACTGGAAGCGGGTGTTCGGCTTTGGGTGCTTGTCAGCGAGCTCTGTGAGAAGATCGAGCGAGAAGGACGACATGGTGGTGCAGAGCCAAGAAGCGAGAACGAGCGCTAAAGCCGAGGAATTTATGGGCGCACCGTCGCGGTAGACGTTTCGAGGCAAGGGCGCGGCGGTCGGCCCGCACGTGTGCGCGGTGTGGCTATGACGCCCTGCAACAGCGCCTTCAAGTTCCCTCTCAACCACCATGCCGGCCAAATCACCCGCTCAATCGCTGCTAGAGAAGGCAGATAAGAAGGCCAACACATCTACTGGCTGGTTCTCCTCGTCATCTACTAAATTCGAGGAGGCCGGCGATCTGTACCAGCAGGCTGCTAATGCGTTCAAGCTTGACAAGCTCTTCCGTGAGGCTGGAGATGCTCACGCACGCGAGGCCGAGTGCAGGGAGAAGTGCAAGGAGATGAACGATGCTGCCAACGCTTGGTGGAATGCTGCCAAAGCATACAAGCGTGGTTTCCCCGACTGTGTGTCTTGATTTCTACATGCTTATGTGTCCCTCGCTCATTATCATCGCTGTGCATATGTGTAGTGGCTATCCAGGCCTTGACCCAGACTATCACAATGCTTACGCAGGCGGGTCGCTTCCGCCAGGCGGCCGACCGCGAGAAGGAGATTGCACAGATCTATCTGCAGGAGATGCATGACCTCCGACGAGCATGCGAGGCCTTCGAGCGGGCCGGTGACTGGTATGCCCAAGAGGATGCAGCAGCGTGAGCCGTCGCTTCAGTCATGAGTAGCGACCCGTTTGTTGATAATCAACTAGTACCGCAAACGCATGCTTCAAGGATGCCGCCGACCTTCATGCGGAGCTTGAGGAGTATCCCAACGCCATTGCCCGTTACGAACAGGTTGCGGATCATTCGCTCGGATCGGCCTTGACCAAGTACAGTGTCAAGGAATACTGGTTGCGGTCTGTTCTTTGCGGTCTTGCGATGCGGGTATGCATATTCTATGACCATACAGACTCGTTTATTGACATGAATGACCCAGGATGTCATTACTGTGCGAAGGAACTTGTCGCGCTACGCTACTCTTGATACAACGTTCCCATCGACCCGCGAAGCCAAGTTCTGCAACGCCCTTCTGGACGCTGTGGAGCAGCATGATGTTGAGCAGTACACTGCTGCTGTGTTCGACTTCGACCAAGTATCGAAGCTTGATAACTGGAAGACGGCCATCCTTCTCAAGATCAAGCGTGCCCTGGAGGCGGAGGACGAGGATTTCACATAAACGCTCTACTGTCCCTGTCCGCCCTGTTTATACCTGTTCTCTTTACTACAGACCCATAAAATGTACCGGATACGATATTCACGGATTTCTTGTGTATTTTTGGAAGTGTGGGAGAAGACCACGTCGCGAATAAATCGAGACGCGCAGCCGGGATCCGGACCCCGACAGTTGCTCGCATCTCTTGTCTCCAGTCCCCAGTCGCCACGTTCTCTCAGAATGCTCCTTGTCACCTCTAGAGCTCCGTAGTCGGTTGCCACTCTTTTGCTTGTCCTGTCATCTCGTTCTCCAGTGGGGACGTCAGTAATATAGCCACCCATGGCTGCTATCCTCGCGTCGGCGCTGTTGTACCTTGCCCATTTACTCTATTCAATTTCTCTGGCAATATGGTCCATACATGCACGCTGGCTTAAACGCATACCCCTCCCACTTATTGCGCAGAGGAGTAAGGTGCCCAAACATCTGGGCGTAATCTTGGTTTGCGGGGAGGAAGAGGCCAGGAATGCATCGGTGCAGGACACGTTTGTGAGGAGCGCGGAGCGCGCTGCGGCTTGGTGTAGGGTGGCTGGAATAAAACGACTGACATTATACGACCGTCACGGTGAGCTTGTGTACATCTTCTGGAATGCACTGCCACTAAAACGGATGCAGGTGTACTTGTCCAGTCGCCTGAGGCCAAGCAGCGCTTGCGTGCACTCGAACTCGGTGTCAAGACTGAGCGTGTCCTACCGAACATCGTATATCCCCCTACCCCACCCATGACGGACGAGGCCGCGTCTCAGTACTCGGAAGAGGCGCCCTCGCGCGATGCTCTGGGCGTGTCTACCGTGTCTCCCGAATCTGGCTTCGATGGGCTGAATGGAAAAGAAGGGCTCCGCAATCGAAGCCTCGGTGCGTCGGATTAGCATGAGCAATGCAAGCGCCTTTTGGCTAACGTCCCCTCTAGTTCGCAGGAGCAGCGCTCAAGACTACCTGAAGGTGCAGCTGGCCAGTCTTCCCTCCGGGAAGGAAACGATGGCGTCGGTGGCGAATAGCTTGCTTTTCGCCGCGCGCCATGACGTTCGTTCCAAATCAAGCTCCAAGCATACCAGCGTCTCCGTGAACGAGCTACAAGACATCCTGGAAGGAGACGGTGGGCTGGATCCTCCGGATTTGATGATTGTCCACCATGTTACGTGCCCGGCACGTCAACGCCCGCCTCTCGAGATGTATGGATTCCCGCCGTGGCAAACACGCCTGACCGAAATATAGTACGCCCTTCGACTCTATACGGCCGTCTTATAGCTGACATCTCACCCTCTAGTTACGATGGGTCCTGGCCTCTGCACGCACGTTTGCTGCGCCACATCTCTAGCGCGCTCGTCCCGAACTCCCTGCTCTCGGAGATGGAATTCCGTCATGCTTTGGACATTTTTTCCAAGGCCGAGTTTCGCGTCGGCAAATGATGCTCCCTACAGATGGGATGTCATGAAGCAGTGCGCGCATAGACACGCGCACGCACTTGTACGGGACTGGCTAGGGTGTGGCTATAGACACCCAGGGTAGCTCAATGGCTCCCAGAGATTCGTGTAGATGGAGTACAGAGTAATGCGGGATGGTCGGGGCGCCCTCGCACTGCCCGTCTCATGGACGCTCTACGCGCTTGTTTCACTAGACAATAATTCGCAGTATTGTATTCGTCGGTAGAGAAGCTAAATGCGAAGGGACAAGGAATCCGCCCCAAATGGGCCAATATGCCGAGCGCCGTGCCCAGGAATGCTGGGCGCCGCAAAGGGCCCGCGCGTCGCGCGTGCTTCATGTTCAACTTGCCTTTAGACATGATGATCTGCATTCGGCACTGCGTTCCTAAGCTAGTACTCCGAGAAGAACCGCTTCCAAGTATGACATGAGGTCCATATGACACGGCCAGGGAAGATGCGGCTATCATATATAGGAGCATCAGTAACTCGTGTGGACTCGACACAGATAGCTTCTCCGCGAGCCCTTCGACTTCACACTCGTCACGGCCTCGGCTCGTACGATCTCTCACGACAACCTTCACGACTTGCCCCGTCATGACTGAGGTACCCATCTCTGCCATACCTTTGCTGTCGACTGCTTCAGGTCGGAGCGAAGGGAGGAATAGTAGTCGCAGCGCACATAGCGCATCGCCGAGACCGGATGTCCCGTCCCGTCATTCCCCGAGTCCTGGCAGGTCCTTCACGGATCCTGATCCCAGCCACCTGAAGATTAGAAAGCGGATCGTGGTCTGTTGTGACGGGTGCGTTGAATGTACGAGAAGCGTATTTACGATGGACTGATTCGCTTCTGCATAGAACTTGGCAAGATGGTCTTTCGGTCAAGGCGCGCTGGCAGTACACGAATATCCTTCGGCTAGCGAGGGCCGTTAATCACGTCGATGAACGCTTGTAAGCCCTGCGCTTCGCGTCATCTGTTTCGCAGGATGCTGATGCCATCACTCTATTGTCAGTATGCCGCCCAAGCCTCAAGTCGTATTCTACCAATCCGGCCTCGCAAGCACGGAGAGCTACAAGATCGACTCCATTCTACAGGGCGCCACGGCGGCAGGTTTGGGCGACAAGGTGCAAGAGGCGTACGGCTTTATCGCTCACAACTACGAGCCCGGGGACGAGGTAGGCTCTGGACACTTTGCCTCGTAGGCGGCGGCTCATGATGCATCCTGCCCGCAGATCTTCTTATTTGGGTTCTCACGAGTGAGGACAGCGCTGCCTTCCAGTGGGTGAATCTGACCAGCGTAATTATAGGGAGCATACACAGCTCGCATGGTCGCCTGGATGATCGTGAGTGTCATGCAATCGCTTGACGTTTCCTGTCTCATCATCTACGAGTAGGAAGAGATTGGTGTCCTGGACCGAACTGATATGGACCACTTCGCCGGGATCTTCATGTCCTTTCTCAAACACGGCAAGACCGATGATCCGAAGGGTATGGCAACCTTCTCCACAATACACGCTTGCTGCCGCAGCTGACACGATCGTCATCCAGAGAGAGAGTTGCTAAAGACGCAGGTCGATCCTTGGACGCAGCACGACTCTCCGGGAAAGAAACGGGCCAATTACGACGACAACACATTCGCAATTAAGTACGTATACCCCATATCCACTATAGTTCACGTCGCTCACGCATCCCAGATGTGTTGGCGTATTTGACACCGTTGGCTCCATTGGCATACCCGACGAGCTAAAGTTCGGTGCGAGCGATGACAAGATGCGAACGCTTTTCGGGTAGCTATATCGACGGTGTCTTCGTCGACACGCATGTCTGATTCTCATTGCCAGCTTCCCCGATTCGACATTAGGAACCCATGTCGAGAGAGCCTACCAAGCCCTTGCCATCGAGGAGACGCGCACCGACTTCGTGTGCAATAAGTGGACTCAAACTGAGAAGGGGAAGCGCAAGAAGCAAGTTCTTCAACAGGTAGCAGCTCGCCCTTGTTCTTGAGAAGTTCAATCTGCTTACCTTTTACAGTGCTGGTTTACGGGCTCTCATGCCGATGTGCGCGTTCTTTCAGTTCTGTACGAGATGGCACCTGACGCGTGATGGCTCACAGATCGGCGGCGGTTTCAAGGAGCACGACTTATCTGATCTCACCTTATTCTGGATGGCCGTACGTGACAGTGTTTTGTCGCGAAGACTTCGCCCTGATCTATGCATGTAGGCACAAATCGGTGATATGCTCTCTCTGGATGTCAAATACCTTCTGAAAGGGTTAGCGCCCACCGCGCCTTGGGGAGCCCAACAGTATCACGAGTACGTGCCATGAACGTCTGCCTTCACCCAAACCCTCATCTACTTCAGTCCGCGCACCGGAATATATGCCCTGACCAGCACCACACATCGCAAGTTGCCAACTCAGCTGAATCCGCAGACTCACGAGTACATCCATTCCTCTGTTCTGGAGCAGAAGAAGCTCCCAGATGGACTGAAGGAAACACTAAGCCAGCATCCCGAGCTGGTGGCAAGGCTACTGCCTCTTGAAGAGGAAGTGAAGGTCAATTGGCCCTACGATCCGACGATACAGCTTCCCGCGGCTCCATCCCAGATCGACGCAAAGCCATCGAACGGAGCCGCCTCCGCCACATCTCCCACGACCACGACCAGTGAGCGCAGGAGATCATTCTTCGCCAAGGCCATGGGAACATTGACTCGCAAAGGCGGCCGCAGTGCTTCAGGTGATGTTCCGGCGCCTACCGTCAGTACGGAGATGGACAAGCCCTCGACGCCGAAGGACACTGACGCGCAAGCGACGGCGAACCACTTCGAGAGTTTCAGCGCATTTGGGTCCTTCGTTCTCGAGTACTTGAAGTCGTGATCAGGGCAGGAAGTAGGGATGCATCGAACAACAGGACTGTGGTTGTACTCGAAGATGGGCGCTTATGGGCGTTTTAGACATTGCGCATCGCGTGGCTAGGCGCCCCTATCTCCTTCTGCTTTGCCTCGTTGTTCTGAACGTTCATGTTATCGGTTCTACCACATGTTAGCGGATTACTATATACCCCCGTAATGTCACTGTGCTTTATCTACTGGACGCATATGCTTGGTACCTATAACCTACGCCGTGTCAATTGATTTGCGGGAAGCACGTCACGAGAGTCGACCAAATCGGCGCGCGCATTGACCGCGCACGTTGGAGTTGTCTTTGACTTCGACTGTGATCCTCGTGTCTGCCACGTCGGATGCACCCATCCTCTCGGCTGTCATGACCCGACACACTCTCGAGGACCATGCCGGCGTTGGCAGGCCGATACCAACTGCATCCACCCGTCAACAGTCGTCATATACCCCAGACGCGGTACCACCCAGCCCTGCGCGCTTCATATCCCGCCAGCCCGATCCTCCTCCTGCGCCGCAGTTCGATGACGACGAGACGGTCTCCACGACGTACAGTACAACGACCACTGCCATTGCCACTGGAGTGGACCCAGAGTCGTACGATGTCGCAGACGCTTTGGGACCTCCAAAGAGTAAATTGCACTTCCGCGAGACGTCTGGCAATGCAAAGAGGGCGAAATACAAGGAATACGATCCAGTCGACGAGGAGATCGACGACTTACTCGCGAGCGCGTCTTCCACCGCTCATGACCATGTATATCCGCCCTCCACACCCACGTTTAAACGGCTTTGGAGCGACATTTCAACCCGGACACACCCCGGCCATGCCCCCGTTCCTGCAATCGAGGTCTTTTCTCGACAAGCACCTCCCTTATCATTACCAGAGCTTGACGAATATATATCTGCTTTGCCTATACCCGACTTTGCGAAACACCCACCGAACGGTGTGGGCAATAAACCCAAAGAGTTCGTCCCCATGGACCGACTCACCGCTTCCGGGAAGCAGGTCGCTGACCTCATAATGAATGGAGAAGTTGCTCCTGCGTGGAGAAATCGCTCTACACTCGCGGGCGTCATAGTTGGCCTGGTCCTTGACTTCATGGTGTGACCCATCCATCGTGTGGTCAGGGAATGATGGACTAAGTTCCGCAGGGATCCAGTCTGGTGGCCTCGTACTACAGCTTGCAGAGCCTATTCAGTACCATTCAAATTTTTGCTCTCCTTCTGGATACCGTCAGTGCGTGAACGAACAACCTTGGTCTGCATCTTTGATTGCTGACTCTCGAATCAGAGAATGCCAACGGCGTGGCGGGTTATTGGAAGCAGCTACTCACTGGAACCATGTCTGTATCTAAGATTACCAGTCTTACGACGTCGAGCTGACCAGCATGCGCAGTCCGAATATAGTCGCTCTTAACTTCGGCACTACGCTGCAGCAAAACGTTGTCCTGCTGTTATGCTTCACTGCAATCGCTGGCGTCCTTATGTTCTTCTTCTACCGCGTAACCTTGCCGTCTGCTCAGTACTCTCGTTACGAGGCCTTTCAGGCGCCTGAAAAGCGTCACAACTGGTCCATAATCATCATGACCCTGCTCTTGACTGTCGTGTACCTGCCTCTGAGCACTGTGGCCGTCCACATCATCGTCTGGTCGGATGAGCTTTGGGTCGTAGCGAATCCTTACACAAACTCCACAACATCCCCGCCAACTCTCACCCCTCTGGGCCCCGCCGACCAGTATCGCGATCCACTGGACTTTTGCTATACGACCACGATGAGGAAGGACGAGATCAACTGGGCTCCGTTACTGGTCATCATGGCTCTCGCACTGTTCTTTGGTGTATGTGCTCGTGCAGTCATCCCGTTTTTCTATTGCTGACCCCGAGGCGTAGCTCACAGTCTGGTTTCCCATTGCGTTATGGCGGGCCATCAAGCAATCGGCGCCCAAAGTTGATCCTTACACTTCGCTAGGCAAGAAGCGTACGCATAGAGATCTCGACTTGGAGTACCACCGTGTCCTTGATCGCGACCAAAACCCCCTTTCGTTTATTTACCACGGTATGGAAGTATGGATGGTATGTCACTGGATGAGTCGTTGATGATTCGTGTAGGTTTTCGTCGCGGATGGGCATCCTATGAGGCGATATACTTATTTGCGAAGTTTGGTGCCTTGCTCATCGTCGCAGTCATCGACCCCAACAACTGTCTCTTCCGGAAACTGGACTCTGTTCACGTCATGATCGTTCGGCAGGTCGTTCTGCTTATCGGCACTATTATATGTTTTGCTGTTCAATGCTTTCTATCTCCGTTCCTCGATCCTGTCGGCAATGCTTCTGAATGGATGTCACGACTGAATTACGTCCTTACGACCATCGTCTCTCTTCTTGTAGCTCTCGATGTACCCGGTCAGAATATCATCAATGGACCTGTGCTCTATATGTAAGTGCACATCTCTCTAAACATTAGGATCATGGGGCTGACAATCAATCCAATAGAATCTACTCCGTCACCTACGGATTCACTATCTGTAGGTCGGTCGGCTTTAGAGACTGCTATTTTGCTCAACCGCACCTCAGACTTCACTGTAATAACCTGGGGATTTGTGCAGAACCGTGTCAAACGTACGCATTCCCTTCACTTCTCTGTGACTATCCGGCTGAACACTTCACAGGCCACTCACTAAGAGTTGATTTTAGTACGCATGCTACTAATCCAGCTGAGGTACTTGCTGAGGCGTCCATAGGCATCGACATATTCTCGCCTCGTATCGACCTTACGCCATCTTCACCACATCTTCGCAACCGCATCTGGCAAGAAGCTATCACGACCCTGATTCTCACGAACCCTGAATGCAAGATACCCCACGATCAACGAATGTACTTTGTCATCGCACCCAACGCAGAATACCCCCCTTTCCTCTCCAACTTCGAAGGCTCGCCAGGCGAGCGACACGTCGAGAATCTGAAGGTGAGCTTCGAACCTCGACGCTCGTATCTCCGGAACTGAAGCCATGCATCTAGATCATCCGCGAAGTCGGCTCGTCAACGTACAACAAAGCCGCTCTACTAGGTTCAGGGCCGGACCATGCGTGGGTTCGCGACCTCGTCGGCGAGATACAAGAGCACTACGTCGGTCCCGATGCTTACTGGCATAATCCCTCGGAGCAAGCTGTCCCTGGTCACACGCGCTACTTCGGGCACGCGTGGCTCATACCCTTCCCGCCAACAGTAGTATGTTGTAGTCTTCATACACTCAGCTCTCACGGTCGAATGCCAACGCACATCTTTGCAGGTCATCAAGTACGACGACGGACCTAGAGCTATCATCAGGGACCTATTCGACCTACAGCGCTTCGTGTCACAGAACTCTAGTCATGAGATACGGCGGCGTCGTGAGATCCGAATGGCATTGCGAGCATTAGATGGTCAGACAGTCCACTGGCCTCATAGGCATGTCAAGGTGAGAACGCGTGCTCGCGTAACAAAGCTTCGCTGATAAAGGTCCCTGAAGTCGCGTTACTCGCGCTTATGGTGCTGTGGTCCTCGATACGACGCACAAGCTCCCGTGTTCTATCAGACCGGAAAGCTCGAGCTCGCGCGTCAAGGTTATACGGTTTATAACGGTCTGCAACTAGGAAGCGGCTTCGACATCAAGCTGCGTTACGCCAGAGGCGTGGTCTGCGATGGAACCGTATTCGGCGTCAACGACAATTACGATCTCACCGACGACCTAGCCCAGTTCCTCGCGCTCAATCACACGAAGATACACAACCGCATACCGAAGATCTCGCAGGCGCTTGTTGAATACCGACGGCACTTCGCGCAACTATTCAAGAAGAAAGCGGACACGCTCAGCTACCAGTTTCTCATGCGTGTGCACAACTGTCCTCAAGATCCTGCTGCGCTCGCGAAGGCGGTTGCAGAACAGGAACCGGATATCCGCGTCCGTCAGCTTCTGGCTGGATGCGATATTGTCTTCCAGACCACGTACGAGCGGTTGGCTGCCGTGTCGTCGACACAAGTGGCCGCTTGGTGGTACATATTTTGGGTAAGTTGATCAGCGTTGCACCAATTATCCGATTCTTCGGCTGACTCCGCTCATAGGATGACTTCTGGCGCCGCAACTACAATACCGTACCAAACCTGAAGTTGCATGAGACGGACTTCAACCCGCACTACCCGACCTCTGTGGCGTACACGCCCTTGCCTCGCGCAGCGCTCGAGGCGTTCTTGAACCAGCGCGGACTACTCAGCGCCAAACGTACACTGCTGTATCCGGGATTCCTGAACAAAATCTACATTCGACTGTACGACATTGTATACCACAACTCACGCAAGGTAGGCTTTTAGTCGATGACTTCTGAATGGTCATGTATACTCATAATTGTCCGTCTGTTAGGGCGATATCTTCCACTATGGAGATGCAAAGGCTGAAGTCGACCTCGAGGACATCGACATGGAAACGCAGGCGAATCCGTCCAGTCTCTGGACAGGGAATGGCACCGATCATGACGATACCGCGATACGCCAACGACCGTACTACCGCTGGGAGGGCATCCTTACCGATCCAGTACTGGCGAGGTCACCGCACCATCACGCCATCACTTCAAAGATCGGGGCATGGCTAGGTATCACACCGTTGTGGCGAGCAGGGATACCATCTCCCGGAGTTGCGCTCGATGTGAAACTGGTGAATGGGAAATATGTACTGTTGTAGCGATGCATGTATAGCGTATACACGGCGATGCAGGACAGCAACAATGGCATATCTAGCCGACTTTGCGTCGTTTTGGCCATCCCGAGTCGCGTTCCCTGGGTTCGCCGGGACGCTTATTGGACGTTGGTGCGCCGCCGCCGACGACGCTCCCCCGCGCAAAAGGTCTCGCTTTCGTCTCTTTCTGGCTGATCTTCTTTTGCTTCTTCTCGATAGCCTTTTTGACCGCGCGCTTCCCGCCCTCGGCTGCCATCGCCTCGTAACGCGCCTTGAGCATGAGTTTCTTCTTGTCAGCTGTGAAGAAAGAACATGTTAGCTAACATACGGGAAGAGCAGCGGACGATGGCACGAACCATCCTTCAGGTAGAACGCGCCCTTGCCCTGCTTGCGCTTCTCCCTTTCTTCATGTGTAGCTTTGGCGATAGCCTCCTGCTCTACGCGCTCACGCTTATCTCGATTGACAGCGCTTTCTGCACGTTTGACGGCACGTTCGAGACGCTCAACCTCGGCTTCGCGCTTGGCGCGTTGATCTCGTGGGGAAGATACAAGCAGTTTACGAGCACGTTTGAGGTTCTCTCGCAGTGTCGATAACTCGTCCTTGTGCAGATCCGCGAGAAAGTCATACTGAGACCGAAACTTTGTTGCGTCAAGAGAGCCGGCTGTTGAGAGGAAGCGAGGGTCGCGAGGTTCCTATGTATGAAAATGAGCCGTTGGTGGTGTTACGTGCAATGTACAGAGCGTACCAATTTGTGCGCCTCCACGACTTGCCTGTGCCAAGACACAGGGCGCTTAGAAGTAGTCTCCTGTGGGCTAGGAGCCAGTCAGCCTTCATGAAATGTAGAGCACCGAAGACACATACGCGTGCTTGCTCGACCTCTTCACTGCCACTTTTTTGTGCTTTGGTTCATCCTTCTCCTTCTCCTTGCCTTTGCTACTCAATGCGCGTGGCCCATCACCATCCGATCCGGAGTCCCCATCGGCATCTGAGTCCCCCTCATCATCCGAGTCGGCAGTAGCCTGCGCCAATGCACGTTGTGCTTTTCTTAGAGTCCCGAAAGGTAACGAGCGGAAATCTGTCGTGTGAACTCAGCGAGGGGCTTCATGAGAACAGTGCGACTCGGGTATCTACCGTTTTCCAACGTATCCTACATTTAGGTCAGTACATGGAAAATAAACATGATCGAGCCCACGCACTTCGTTATCCTCCTGAGCCTCTTCGGCTTCCTCCTCCTCCAGCTCGTCCTCGTCCTGCCATTGAGCAATGCGCGGAGCATCAGGATCCACCGCGTCGTCGCTCTCCTCCCCTTCCTCGTCACTGCTCCCGTGTCCTAGACTACTTGGCCCTTCGCCGCGGTCGTCCACATCCGACTCAGAGTCTGCGCTGGAGTCGGAGCGTGCATCCGAAAGTTTACGCGTAGTAGTGGGTTTCGGTTTCGTAGAAGAGGCTTTTTGTGCTCCAGTTGTGGGTTGAGGCCGCCTAGTTACAGGTCGTGGTCGGCGCGGCATGGTGAATGGGGACCGAAGATGATGGACGGAAGACAACTTTCGCGCGTCTGAGACCTTGATCCACAACCATCATGTGGCACCTAGCATTGATGGGCATTCCACCACTGTATATTCCCTACTGCCCTACGATGCTATATTTTCCCTGATACATTTGGACCGACGCCGCCTCCCTTTACGCGTTCTGTTTTGCCTTTCCCTCCTTCACATCCCACTCGTGTTCAAGAATGGACATCTGCACTACTCCCCAATACCTCCCAGCTGACCACACAAAATCCCTTCGGAAACCTTCCTGCGTGAAACCGCTATAAATCCCTCAGCACAGATACACTGCGAATATCCTATGAGTCCACTCACACATGCTTGTACAGCGCTATCGCGCGCTCGTTCTCCTCCGATGTGGACAACTGAACACGATGCAACCCCCACTCCTCGAACCCAAGCTGAACAGCCCACGCCACGAGCTCCTTCCCATACCCCTTCCCCCAATGCTCGCGCGCAAGCGACAGGCCGACCTCGGCAATGCGGGTCTTGGGGAATACGACGGCGAACGATAGTTGTCCGAGGAACTCTCCGGATTCCTTGTCCTCGGCGATGACGAAGATGCTCGAGCCGGATGGGCCTTTCGTGAAACCCTTCGTGATCTCTTCGATTGCCGACTTTGTTCTGGGGGCTATGTAGTCGGGGAAGGCGAAGCGCTGGGTTTCGGGGTCGTTCCAGAGCGTGAGAAGCTTGTCTATGTCCGTCTCGGGACGGTATTCGCGGAGGATAGTGCGCGCGGTTTCGAAAGGCATTGCGGCTATGGTGAATGCTTACTTGAGCTATTCTCTAGTCATAGCTTTATATGTGCGTTCTATGGCTATCTGTCTGTCCAAGCACGTAGGTCCAGTCGTCGTCGACGCTGCGTCAACTCTCCGATAAGAAAACCGGCATGGCGAGAAACTTTGCCGCAGTGACCCGGTTCGCTATGAGTTCAATTGAGACACTGCGGCGCTCGATGCCTGTCTAAATCTCTTGCCGCAGCGTTGACTGACGTCGCTGCGGGGCAAGCCAAGGACAAGCTCAGGTAGCTGAGGCGCAGCGTTATCACATGTGCACGAACGATCATATCCCCGCTAACACCGACACGTCTGCGCCGTAGGCCTGTTGGTGCAGCGATCTCCTCCTTTGCGATTGCAGATCCGGCCGATAATGTTCTTTGTCGATGAATTGATACGGCTTTCAGCCATGCAATGGTTTTCGGCTAACGATGTCTTCAACGCGCGGCGATCCTCAGCCTTAGCTGGCGTCAGAAACACGCAACTCATCCATCTGAGGAGGCTATCACAAACACTCTCTTGGCGACCGATGAATTATTCCACAGTCGAGTTGCCAGAAATGATCTACTGTATACGCGCATTGGATCTTTATTTATTACCTACTTAAAAGAATAGAAATTTCACTCCGCTGGTGGGGCACGGAGTTTTCTGCGCGGCATTGTATCAGTATGAAGTAGTACGTGCTGCAAGATAGAATACGTGCCTGCCTTGAGCCCAGTATTTTCCCTTTGGATAACTTAACTTCTAATTGCAAGGATGATGTCAAAGCGCACTACCTCTCTAGATAACATGCGAAAATGTGTGAGTCTTGATCTAAGACCATGGTTGTGTTTTATTTTACACGACTCCGTGTCTAGCTCGCTGTGATCTGTGCCGGCTATACCCATAAAGTAGAGCTCTTCACTCAGTCCTAAGCACAAGCTGCTCTAGAAGTTGATCTGCACGGAGGCTAGTGACAGATGCGGAAAAGGTTGCGTGCGAGCACACGTTGCGTTGAGGTCCGCTGAACGCCGAATCTCACGTGATCGCGTTCGAAGCTGCGGTAGCTCAGGCCACTGGCCGGACGGAGAGGAGTCCTTCCACCTCTCTATGCCACCACCACCATGCCGGACGATCCATCCTTGAAGTACGCCCTCAGACTTGACACTACTGACTCTGTACTGACTCGCATCCAGGTCATCCCTTCCATCGCTGGTCTTGCCACGCTTCACGGATAACGGACTGCTAGGCATCCCGCGCGAGCTTCAGTTGCAGACGATGGACGCAGAACTGGAAACATTGAAGCTCACACTCTATCGGGCGCGCCGAATGCGCAATATGAAGTCCGCCGCTTGTAGCCTTCCACCTGAGCTCTTGGTCCATGTGTTCGGTTACTTACAGTCAACATGGTGGCCGGAGTGCGAGTATACGGATCCCGGACGTGTATATGACATCGGTTGGATGTGTATCACCCATGTATGCAGTCTGTGGAGAGAGGTAAGCTATCGGCTGGCGCACTTGAGAGCACACGCGTATTCAAATATTCACGTTTGCGTCATGAATCAGATTGCGCTCGGGTCTCCGTCGTTGTGGTCACCACCCGAGATATATGTCTTTGATCTCCCTCATCAGTTCATCTCGCTCATGCTGGCTCGGTCTCAATCACAACCCTTGCACTTCACGTTTTACTCTGAGGGTGATTGCGACGATTTACTACATCCCAATCTGGATTCATGGCTTTCTCCTGCCCTCTTCCGACGTGCCAGATCTCTGAACATTACAGGAAACTGGGACCTGATTGAAGCCATGGCAGCCCGCTTTCCCCAGAAAGCGGAGATGGACGGACTACGAGAGCTGTTCATATTCATTTGGGAGCCAGAACCTGATATAGTCTTACCTACACCTCTACGTGACTTATCTGGGGTCACCACTCTTTCACTGAGGCACTGCGAAGTCCCTTGGCGATCACCCGTCATCTCGCCGCGGCTCACGCATCTCCATGTGACCAATGGGTGTGGCGAGAATCGTTTATCATATCACGACTTTCGCACAGCGATGGGTCTTCTTCCCGTGCTTGAGGAGCTTGCCGTGAAACAACGCGCTCTCATCGGTGCGGCGACAGGCGATGTCACGATTATGCCGCAGTCATTGAGAAGACTTCGCCTCATCATTTATGACGACGAACATCCTCTCGAATGTATCGCACTCCTTCCTCTTATCAAGGCCCCACCCCAATGCATTTGCGATCTCGAGCTTCACGGACTCAAGCTTCCCGATAGCTCAAACCCGGATACCAAAGCCCTTGTCGACGATAGCTTGCTTCGAACGTTATACCCTCTATCCTTTCATGCTCGGGACGATGTAGTGCAGCACCTGACGCTGACGCACTCAATCCTGCACTTCGCTTCGACCACTGTAATCATACCACCGCCTATAACGCAAGAGTGGGTTCCATGGGGCCCAGATGGAGGGGTAGTAATCACTAGTTGGAGGGCGATTGGTATCCTGAATCCCGATTTCCCTGCGCGCTTCCAGGATGCCAGCGCGAAATACATGTCGAACATCAATTTCGACAGGCTTCGAACCATCTCCTTTGACGCAAGCTTTTTCTCTATGCTCGAGCGAGCAGATCTCTGGGCGCCTTTAATGGAGAGGGCCGTGGAGATCCGTCAGATCGGCGTGATGTACACCGGTGTAGATGAGCGTCATCTATCAAACTTGCTGGAAGCGCTTCGAAGACAGTACGAACCCTCATTCGGGCCAGCGGGAGGGATGCACATGTTGGCACCTCATCTTGAGGTGCTGGCACTCCCTCTCTACGGAGATCAAACTGGGCATAGTGTCTGCATCGCACCACTTCAGGCTTTGATACAAGCCAGACGCGAGGCAGGCATTCCATTACGTGAACTGGTGGTTCCGAGGGAGACCAAAAACTGGACAGTATGGAGAGCGCTGCGAGCGTCGCTAAGGGTAACGTTCATTAAGTGGGAGTCATTTCCCCACTATCGCGGGCCGCAACGATCCCCCGTCATGCCCAAGCTTGTTGATAACTTCAAGATACTGGATTAGCTCACACTGCACATAAATCTGATGTATATGTTCACAAGACTTCGGTGGCGCACTTGCAGCTCACGCTGTGAACGGATTGTGGCAGCCGAGCGGCACGGAAAGCCTGGCGAGCGACACTGGATGCGCGGCCGAATGATAAAGGATATACAGACGCGCAAGTGCTGAAATATTCATAGCCCAGAGTTCACATGCGAATTGATACTTCGTATCTCAGGACTGGTTCGCCTCGGGATATTTTTTGACTTAACAGCATTAATAGAGCGCCGCCCGGCGCTGGGTATAAAGTACTGTAGATAGACTGGTCCTATAGTCGGGGCTGGGTAAGAACCTTCGGGGGGAGTGGGGGTATTGGCATCAGGTGCAGTGATTCGCCTCGGGATCACGCGGGAAGCGAAGCTCAAGCTCAAGTACAGTGTCGCGTTTGCCCGAGGTGATCCAAGAGATGAGACCCTCATCGCATGGACATGGTCGATCAATCCGCAGGCGGGGGACCCAGGTCTGCGCGTTATCGCGGTGAACGCGCCCGTGCGTGTGTCCGATGCTCTGTGGGCGATGCAGGCTGAAGAGACAGTTATCGAACTGGCCGACGATGGGCTCGGCGCGATACTGCATATACATATCACCACTACCAACCGTGATCGTAGTGTGAAAGCGAATGGAATATGTGCTATTGGATACACAAGGGAATGAGATGATGGCAGGAAGCGAAACGCACGAAGCGTGCGAGCATGACGAAGTGCGAGACATTTGCTGCTAACGCGAATTGCTGTAGACCTCCATGGGCTAAAGTCTTTACCGCAATATACTCGTCGCCGCTGGCGAGGCAGACGGCACAATGAACGACCCCGTGGTTCTGTTTGAAGAGCCGGCGCTTGATCACGTCGTCGAGGGGATCAGCGACGACGAGGACGGGGACATCTACCGCGGCCCCGCTCCCCGCTCCCGCTCGCCTTCGCCCGCTCCCTCGGCCCACTCGACCTCTTCTTCGTCCTCGTCCTCCAGTTCTTCTTCTTCTTCGTCGGGATTTGCCGGGCCCATAGGCGCCATCACGACTGCGGTGGAGCGAGCCATACACCGCTGGGCTCGCGCAAATTGGTCCACCTCTTCTCTCAGCAGCTCCGACACGGAATCTTCAGACTCTTCCTTTCGTACCGCGAACAAGTCTGCGCGCACCCGTCGGCGCAGGCGTCGGCCCAGTCTTGCGGACTCAGCTCGGCAGTCCCAGTCTGAGCTCGATGTCGCGGCTCGCCGGCGCGCTCGCGAAGAACGTCTGCAAATACCCCGCGAATTTGTCCTGTATATTCCCCCTGTCGTGTCGCCACATGCGTCACCCGCCATGATCCCGTCGTCTAGTACTGCACGATCAGCAGAGTTGATCAAGACGGCTCGCTTGCAAGACGTTCTTGATCGGCTCACGGACGCCCCACGCAAGTCTGGCAAGCCCCGTCGGCCACGGCGTCGGCAGCGGCTCGCACCCGGCCCGGGAAGTGACCGACCCGTTCCACCGTACATGCTACCGCAACAGGATTATATGATTGACGAGGAAGTCACACCAGAGAGATTGCCGAGTCCGCCGTCGAGGAAAGGGAAGGAGCGGGAAACCGCCATGTACAAATCACCTGAGGCTGTTGTGCATGCATCAGGAAGGGGACAGCGGGCTTGGTGGTTGGATGTGGCCAGCCCGACATGGGAAGACATGCGTGCTCTGGGCAAGGTATGTTCGTTCAATCTGAACTTGTATGCCTGTACGTTGCTAATGTCGTGCAGCTTCTACACCTTCATCCTTTGACACTCGAGGACATTCTTCAGCAGGAGACGCGCGAGAAGCTCGAAGTCTTTCCAAAGTTGGGCTACCACTTCATTGTATTCCGCGCCATCAAGTCGTATGAAGAGCGGTTACCGCATGCGCTACTCAAACGTCCAACCGCCGTCATCCCGACTGCGGAGAGCGTCGTGGATGAGGTCTACGTCTATCTGGTCGTGTTTAAAGACGGCATCTGCACCTTCCACTTCAGTGACCTCTCAGGTACGTTGTGCTAACGTTCTGGACTTCTTTATCGCTTACGCGAATGATAGAGCATCTCGATCGTGTGCGGAGCCGTGTGCAAGACATGGATAATCCAGTCAAGATGTCTTCAGGTGAGATAGTGCTGTGTATGAAGCTCCTCCGTGTTACTGATTGATGTCCCAGCTTGGATCGCGCACGGCATACTGGATTCCATCGTCGACTCGTTCTTCCCCATCCTCAATCACGTCGAACTCGAAGCGCGGACCATGGTCTTCGCCGATGGTGTCGAGGAGCCTCTCCCGACAAACAGCGTCACCACATCAGATAGTACTTTGGTGCCAAGCGTCGAGAACCTGACCGAGAAGCCAGCGTCTGTACATGGCGCCGAGAAGTTGCCATCCTTCAACGAGAAGCAGTCGTTTGTCAAGAAGACCAATATCGCTGTGGCGAAATACCAACCTCGCTTCGTGGCGCCTGCGTGGACCCCAGCACGCGTATATCGACGCGCGCGGCGTCTCTACAGGCGTGCTGTCCTGTGGGTGCGCAGTAATCGCGAGGTATACGCAAAGCAGACGCCGCCGAACGCAACTGCGACGAACCTGCGACGCATGGCCCGTGCACGGCGTCTTGTCACGCTACTCGGGCGTGTTCTCGCGGCAAAGTCAGAAGTCGTCGCGCGGTTACGCAAGCGATTGTTGACGTCGGCGGAGAGGGACGCGTTGGATCAGGACGAGCTTGAAGTCGCCATGTACATGGGCGATGTGCAAGGTATGTTGCGGGCGCCGTTATCCGATCCAGACGCTGATCTTCGCTCTAGATCATATTCTGTCTCTGCAGCATTCCCTGGCCCATTACGAGCGCGTTCTCAGCCAGTCTCATCAGACATACCTTCAGCAGCTGCGCACTATCGTGTCGCAAGGTCGCGGTAGTCAAGATCAAGCCATCCTCGCGCTATCTATCGTTACGGTCGGTGTCCTGCCCGTCCAAACCGTGACTGGTATGTCGCAGTCATCGCAAACCCATGTGTGGTGTACTGACAGTCACAAAGGCATGTTCTCCATGAACGTTCATGTTCCCGGGAACGCCCTCGATGGGACAATATACCGCGCATTTCTTCTCGTTTTACTGGGCGCCGGTTGCATCATCGGAGGATACGTCTCGCTGATATATTATTGGTGGCGAACGTCCACGCGCAAACGTATCGCTGCTCTATGATACCTCCAGGCGCTTCGGACATCGGACATATCTGGACCTGCCATGTATCCATTATGCACGTATAGTATCTGAGGGCTCAGATGCCTGCATACCCTAATGGAATATAAATTGACCTTCAATCTCGATGCCCACCCAGTCCTATTCATATGCTGTATCAACGTTCAATAATCAACAGTGCTCCGCTGCCGTCAGTACAGGTCACAAGTCATGAGGCAAATCTGTACGGTATACGTGCCTGTTGGGGAGGAGCGACGCACACGCCATCCAACAGCAACTTTATCTCATAGATAATTCGGGGTTGCACTGCCGGCCGGCGCCGACACCTCGCATCACGGATCCGAGCTCATCTCATGGTGCGTCGGCAACCCCGTCGCGTTCGTCCGCTCCGATGCCCCGCAAAGGAAGTCGCGCATGCTGGCAACGCGCTCCGTCAAACGCAACCATCATGGAGCGGATTCGCGTAAACCGCGTTTGCGAGCACGCTAAACCCTGCGCATCTCCCTGCGCGCCATCGACCCATCTTCTCCGCTCCTCAGAACGAATATCTCGTGGCCGTTAGCCGATTCTTGCGAGGTAACTCTATCTGGTGCCAAGCCTGACGACACCTGGCTATGTGGTATATAATGAGGTGAGGGGATGGGGCTGTAGCTTCAACAGCTCTCTCTTGTTTGCATCCTCTCGTCGGTTCCGGTCAGGTATCGGCACATACACTCTCTTGTACACCCGCACTCTCTCTACTCTCTCTCAGCCTCGTGCTCTCTGCCACCAAAACCCTACCCCCATAACCACCCTCTTATCCTCGAAGATGTTCTCCTACAAGTTTGTCGCGATCGTCGCACTCGCCTCGCAGGTCATGGCTGCGCCCACTGTTGTACGTCTTGTTCTTCTCATCGCACATTTACTTGATCTAATCTGGAGTTCAGTACCGCCGCCAGGATGCCTCGGGCCCGCTTTCTTCAGTCGGCAACGTAGTTGATGGCGTGCTCGACACCGCAACGGGAGTCGTAGGCGGCCTCGTTGACACCGCGACTGGCACCGTTGACGGAGTTGTCGGCGGTGTCCTTAAGCGTCAGGACAACGGTCCTCTTTCCTCCGTCGGCAACGTCGTGAACGGCGTGGTCGACACCGCGACTGGTGTCGTCGAGGGCCTCGTTGACACCGCTACCGGCACCGTCGATGGTGTCGTTGGTGGTGTGCTTAAGCGCCAGGACGCTTCCGGCCCCGTTTCTTCCGTCGGCAACGTCGTGAACGGTGTTGTTGACACCGCCACCGGTGTCGTTGAGGGTCTCGTCGACACCGTCACTGGTACCGTCGATGGCGTCGTTGGAGGCGTGAAGCGTCAGGACAACGGTCCCCTCTCCTCGGTCAGCAACGTTGTTGATGGTGTGCTCGACACCGCAACGGGTGTTGTCGGTGGCCTTGTCGATACCGCGACTGGAACCGTTGACGGCGTTGTCGGCGGTGTCCTCAAGCGCCAGGATGTTACTGGTCCCGTTGGCGCCGTCGGCGATGTTGTCGATGGTGTTGTCAGCACTGCAACTGGCGTCGTTGGCGGCCTGGTCGACACCGTGACTGGTGTTGCCGATGGTGTTGTCGGCGGCGTGCTCTAAGAGCATTCTTCCCGGATACTTGACTGTCTTCCTGTGTCCATTGCTTTCGTTGCTTGTTTTGTCATACCACACCTTTCGTCTTCTCACCCGCTCTTGCAACTCAATGTACATTACCATACCCGCTTCACACATCGCGCTAGTCGTGTCGTTACCCTACAACCACTCCGCTATGCATCGTACACGTGCTTGCACACTACTGCGTTGAATTTCATCCCATGCCTCTAAGAACATCTTGACTCTCACTGGAGGCACGCCTCACTTCTCCGATCCAGAACATGGTAAAACCATGGGTAAATTATGGACAAAGAAGCATTTGTCCATAAGTTTACCATGTTCTGGATGAAATTCACCATGTTCCGGGTCAGAAAAGTGACCGGTGCCTCAAGTGTCTGCCGTGCGAGGTCTCAAACAAGGCATCTGAAACTCGAGAAGAGGGCGTCGCTGCATCGGCCCGGGTACCGGAGCACCCCAAAATTATATCAGAACGCGAAGGCGTCCGCCATCCTCCACAGTCGGGGCATACATTGCCACCGTTTCGCAGTGGTATATGTTCTTCACGGGTGACACTTCAAAGCAAACAACATCATAATTCGGAGGGAGGGGGTGTCGCAGGGTTCGTAACTACATACATACAGATCCATTGTTAATGTGCGGCGTCAACGTCGCAGCTATCGTGAGCATAACAAATCTACGTTCCCATTATCAAGCAGACAGTGTTCGTGGCAGAAATGTTGTCGGAGACGTTCAGGTCAATACTTGATGATCCCGCTTATTGTCCGCAGCGAGAACGACGCGTCTTGTCTCTTCAATGAGGGCTTGCACTAACATGGCCGTGAGCAACCCGGTCGACGATGTGAACGAAGTAAACATACCCTTCTCCTTGTACACGGCCTCCCTGTCCCTCAACTGCTTGAAGCTAGACGTCATACTCTCCTCATGGTCTTTCAACGCCCTCTCTTCCAACTTCAGCTGCTCCGTCTCCAACCTCAACCTCTCAAGACTCAACGCAATATTCTCCCTCATGTTCCTCACACCCACGAGCTCGCCCTCGAACAGCTGACGAGCCTTGTTCAGGTCCTCGCCCGCCATCTCAGCGCCGTACGCGATACGCTCGTATGTCCCTATATGCTCTGCCCAGTCGTTGTCCATAGCCCATGATACGACCTTGGCAGCGCCACCGAGACTGAAGCGGCTATTCTGCTTCAAGCTGCTGCGGCGACGCGGGAGTCCTGGGCGTCCGGAAGGCGCGGTGCTACCGACCTCAGACTCCGTGAAGACGCTCTCGGGTGCTGGTGGGGGCCCTCCAGCAGGTTCTGGCACCGGCATCTCGGTAACGGGGTGTGGCATGCCCATGTCAGGCGGGTGGCGCGCACGGTCGTGTGGCTCGTCCATGAGGCTCAGATTGTCGAGTGTACCGGAAGGTTGAATGTACCCGCTCGACTCGGTGTACGGATGGGGGAGCGGGTCGGGCGAGACGACATTCGGGCGCGTCGATGTGTCGGGTACGCCAAGTGTATCTGGCATTGGCATGGGCGCAGAGAACGGGTCCAGTAGTGGCATTTGGGCGTTCGCTAGAGGGTGCCGAGGACTGTGGGGCATCGGAGGGACCTCGGGCATGGGCATCGATGGCGAGGGATGGTATGCGGGCGCTGACGAGTCCGCGGTGACGTGGGGGACGCTTGCAGGGACGAAGACGTCCGGCAAAACCATGCTCGTCTGAACCGGCGTCGGGGTCCCCACTGTGTTCTCTTCCGCGACGGGCGAGAGAAACGAAGGCACGTATTTCGGTGTCTTATCTGGTACGGTAGGTGCAGTGCTAGCCTGGGATGAAGAGGCGATGGACAGGCGTTTCGACGCTCCTGAGCGTGGCGTTCGGAGGGATATAACTGACGAATGTGTCTCCGGGCTGGCACTGGTAACAGAGCCGCGAGAACGGGTGGACGGCACAATCGAGCCGTCGGCAGCCATACGACCCTTGAGTACGTCACGCGTTAGGCGATGGTGCGAGTCGTTCTCGCGCAGCCAGCGCTCGAGCTCTTTGAGGCGGAAATCGGTGGGGGCATTCACAACGCGGAATGGCGACTGGGCGCCGAACTGGGGGACGGTGAAGCGGGCCATGCGATGGCATTTGCGTTCCATTCGGTCCTTAAGATGCCGGATCTGCATGATGCGCTCCCAGCTGTGATTGGGGTCGCGCGCGAGGAAGGCGAGCTCATCCTGCTCAAGTTCGAGTATCCGAGCGTATAAGGTGGCAGTCCGGGGCGGTAGTAGAACCTGTGGAAAGCGCCCAGTGAGATCGAGTAGAAACATCTGAGGTGATAGAGCATACCTTCAATTCATTGGGGGTGTCCGTGCACTGCAAATATCTCCAGCCTGGCCTCGAGTCAGGCGTATATGGCTCAAGTTGTCCCCTCACAGGGAGAGTCGAGAAAGGGCGCATTTATCAAACACTCGAGACGCCCTGCGACTCGAGGGCACACACGGTAATCCACAGAACAAGAGACAGCAATGAGACCCGGGCGCAGATGGAAGCAGGAAACAAGGAACAGGGAGTGGCCTCGTTGAACTCAACATGATCAGCCTCGAGGCCCGAGGCACCGGCCGGTTGATATTGTGGCGTCGGGAAAAATATTCCCACAGATCTCTACGTACTTGGGGGCTCGCGAGGGGCCTCACTATGGCACCCGGCTAGGGGACGTATCGTCTATCATCGCTTTGGAAAAGTACACAGATGATGTTGTGCTCAGAGCCCAAAGCGAGTAGGGCGAGCAGTGGCGCCAGATCAAGGTAGCCGGCAAGCACATGCAAAGCCAAATCCGGGTTTGTCGCACGGGTTTGACGCTGGCACGGCTTACGACCTTCCCCCATGTCTCTGCTAGCAAACTATGAGTCCTTCCTAATCCATAATATCGACACCCTCAGCTCCCTCGAGTCTACTCTCCGTTCAGTTTCCTGGTTGCTTCCCGGCCGTTTCAAGGATGCCGAGCTCGCGTCTGAATCTCGTCCGTGTCATTGTTTCCCCGCATATCCGCATGTGGCTCATACTATCTATCAGTCGCCGCTTCGCTCAACCTGCTGAGCCTGTACCATGACACGATTATTGCCAAGCTTGTGGAACGTGACCCCAAGTACAAGCCGCTCATCCCGCCTTCGCTCCATGCACGCTACACACGCGCCTGGGCAGATTCTAGCGCCCGATACAAGTGGGCAGCTCGGGCGCTTGAGGTTGTGCGCTTCACCCAGCTCTTGATTGAGATGGGTCTGCGCCGCAAAGCTTCGACTCAGACGCGGTGGAGGGGCATCGTCATGCTCGAGGCTGTCAAGTAAGCGTACCCCAATTCTTGTCGTCATCGCAATCCTGATAAAATCTCAGAGCTATATTGCGTTTCGTACTCCTCCGCATCACAAAGCGGCCACTTGTGTCCCCTCCTATTCCTGAGCGCGAGATCGACCCGACTGCACTTCCGTCCTCATCCACGACCTCCTCTCCGACACTCGCTCCTTCATCGCCCTCGCAGTCCCCTCCAGGTACACCCGACCACCTACGGAACAACCATGTGCCGCTCCTCCCGCACCCTCTTCTCACTTCGCCACCACCAACGAAGCATACGACGCCTGTTGAGGATTTCCTCCTCTCCAAGGCACTCACCACGTCATCTGTAAAGGCACCCTCAAACCTCGTTAAACCGCTAACGAGCCCGAAGGACTGGATCGCAGAAAGCTTGTACATCTTGCGACCGCTCGTTTATGGTATGTTCATCATGTTCGTTGTAATCGTCTATGTGTGCTCATAAAGACATTTGCCAAGTCGTCATGCTTTCGAAGGATAGGAAGAGCAGCCGTCCGCTCCTCGCTTCCCTCGCCCTCGAACTCGTCTCCCGCAACCTGCGTCGTATACCCACCAACTCCTCAGCACTTGAGCGCTCCGAGTACGCATCTCGTGACCGCGATATGCTTTGGTACCTCCTCCGCGACTCGATCTGGCAGACATGGACTAGGTAATGCCTATCTCGTCTGTATCTGGCATCAGTGTGGGATCTAAACCCTGACACAGGCCAAAGCTCGAGACCTTTGCGGATAAGACGGCCAGTGTGCCGCTTATCAACCTTGTCAGCGCATTCCTCAAGGACTGGATGCCGCTCATTGACGAGTATCACTACTGTATGTCGCCCCCTGTATCTGCCCCTGATGCGATTACTGATCAGTGTCTCCCGCCTAGATACCTCCCCGTAGCTGTGCCTTTGTATCATCATATTCTGCTCTGGATACTTTGCTTTCACGTGCTGTGCGCACCCTTCCAAGTCAAAGACTGTCCGAGCTATGAAGACGAGCGCTTAGTTCGTGAACATGCGCTATCTGTCCGCTGGCGCAGTCAATCTCTCACCCACTGGGTGAGGATGTCGATGAGGATGAAATGATGATCACTCGCGAGTCACGCGCCGCATCCTATCTCTCCTTTCCCTAGAGAAAGTCGAGACGCCCTCCTGCATTCACGAGTTGCTTCTTACCACCTTCAGCTTGTTACCGATCATGGAAGCCTCGTCTCCTCCCCCGGCGCCCCGCCGAATCGTCACAACGCACAAAGAAGCGAAGAGCGTTGTCCAGCTAGATCAACCCATCACATTTCAAGTGCCTTCGCTCATCACTAGCGTGGCAAAACCTGCGGGCTAATCGGCCGTATCAGCCCTACCCAAACTCGACGACGTCGCGCTTCTCCGATGTTTGGGTGTACGACGGCGTCCCGACGAATGATAACAATCTTGCGTGTGTCAACCGATCTACCTGCAGTGACGCGGGAGCACTGAGTAATCGCACGTCCGATATAGAACTGACGGTGGGGAGCGTAAGGTAACTGGCCCCGGACTCGGTGTCGTACAGGAAGGGGGTGTGACTTGCCGGTACAACGACCTTGCGCCGGGTGCGAGCGTACCGATGGTACGTGCTCACGCCTCGTCGCCCCCTCGATGCCAAGGCTAATCTGCGATTGCAGCACAGGACAACGTCCACAGACGTCATAGTACTCAGTGCGTTGCACCCTCCCATTGAGCCCGCGATGCTCACTTAAGCCATGTAGTTTCTGGACAAACCGTCCTCACGCTTGACGACGGGACCGAGACACTATTGGAGAAAGCGGGTGATAGTGTCGTACAGCGTGGTACGATGCATGGGTGGCGTAACCCGAGCAAAACGGAGTGGACGCGTATCATGGCTATCGTGGTCGATGCTAAGCCAGTGGTAGTTGATGGGGCCGAGCTGAAGAATGAGATGCAGAGTGAATGATACTCATGTCATGGTACTGTCTCCTTGTTCTGGACTGCAATATATGATGTTCTTTCGGTCCCGTCAGCGCTCGGAATGACTCGGCGAAGCGTGCAGCCTACATCAACACGAGCCAAACACGGGTTACATCTCTCGCCACATCACCCACGCTCGACTCGATCTGCTCACCAGCATGGACACTGCAAGCATCTACGACCGCCTCACCAACTCCGACTCCTGGTACACACGCCCCATTCCCCAATCCCTCCTTGACAAGCCCGTAACATCCATCCGCTTCATCGGTCACCTCAACCCGCAGAACGAGGGCGGCGATCTCGGTGAACCGCCGACGAATCACTGGACTATGTCTCTCATCATCAGCGAGGAAGAGTCGCTGAACTTTGATATCTTGCCGCCAGATGTCGATAAGCCGGCGGTCACCATGGTCACCCAGGTCAACAAAGATAGCGAATGGAAGCCGGAGAGCGACTCTGTGCGGATCGTGAGCGCAGATGTGGCGAGCCACGGTGGCGTGACGATTGGTGGGATCTTGGGTTTGATTATGAGCTTGAATCGCGACCGGTGAGTATTCCCTCGCACACTTCGACCTACCAACCTGAAACACCATAGGTATCGGTATCACAAATCGGGCGAGGGTTGTCGCTTTTGGATGAAGACTATCTCTGGTGACTTCGCCAATGCTGGGATCATCTCTGCCGACAAGGCAGAAGAGGTTGGGAGCGATGTCGAGCACTACTGGCCGGACCCTGCGACAGATATGCAGAAAGTCGTACGCCCGATCAGTGCAGGGCAGTTTCTTGCGTAGACGCAACTGCGTTTCCCATGCCGGCAACTCACAACACGGCTGTTGAGCCGTCGAGAGTCGCCATTGATAACCTTACTCATCCCTATCCCATACATTATCAATGCATTGACATCCATAGTACGGCTGTCATGGAGTAACAGCGAAGCGCCCTCGCGTTCGGTTAAGGCCGCCATCACTTGCTCTTATGTCCGGTCAGATGGGTAGAGCACGACCCATCATGGATGCGTGAAGACCTTACGTTTGTTGCTTCAGCATCATTCGCTCGCCATATCATGTACAGCGAAAGGGCATGCTGCTTACAAGTCTTTCACCTAAGCCCAACACTAACTCTTCTGGCGGACGGCAATCCCGACGGGATTCCCGTTATGCGGAGGTGATCATACTTAAGCAGAGCGCATTCAGAGAGAGTTGCAATACGCAAGATAGTCTTCAATATGGCAAGCCACACTCGGCTTCCTTTCATCTACGAACAGCTAAGGTCTTCGGAGACGGCCGAAACGCCTTCGGTCCTTCCCGTCCCTAGACGTGTAGTCACTACTCACGACAGAGAAGGGAATGGTAGAATACAACAGATTAGTCCTCTGCGGTACCAGCCATATCCCGGAGCGAGGTCGCGCTTCAGCAACCTCTGGATCTTCAATAGCGTCCCAACAAATGACAACAACAACCCACAGCCCCACGAGACCACGTCGACTTGCTTTCCCGTTGACAAGAAGGGACTCGATCATAGGTATGATGGCGGAGAGCGTGCCATCAGAGGTCCTGGGCTGGGGATGGTTCATGCGGGCGGTGTGAGCTGTAGGATGAATGACCTGGAGCCGGGTGGTAGAAGCACCCCAATGGTAGGGGCTCAACAATGCGTCGCGTGCCAGGATGTTACTGAGACCCCGACACTATAGCACAGAACAACATCCACGGATGTGATCACGCTCAGTACGTTCTCCGTCATCTCCTCGGATCTCACAACCGATCCTAACGCACACATGATAGTCTCTGGCAGGCTCGTTCTTGTTCTCGAGGACGGGAGCGAGACGGTCCTGTCCACGCCGGGCGATAGCGTTGTGCAACGAGGGACAGCACACGCATGGTTCAATCCAAGCATTTCGGAGTGGACACGTTTCGTAGCCATCATGGTCGATGCGCAACCGGTCATGGTCAACGGAAAGGCATTGAGGAACGAGTATTGGAATGGGCTGCCAGGGAGATGAACGCGCGCGATTTCGGAAGTTGTTCTGTATGTTCAGTATGATTCGAGTGGCCTCGGGGTATCATATGGGTTGTGTTCCTTCTCTTCGAGAGAGTCATGAAAGACGAAGTACAGGCTGCCAAGCGTGGTGATGGTGGATGGAGGTCAACGGCGAACGCGCCATGTGGCGTAATATAATAACCCTAACCCTACGGATGGTAGCCGTTGCGGCGCGTCTGGACTCGACTTGATTCTTGTCCACCACCATGGTCGTGACGCATGAACTGGTTACTACGTCATGCTTTCTTCCGATTGCCCTACCATCGTAGCCTCTCGCTTTAGAATTTCAATCCTACCGTGCCGAATCATCGCTAGGACTTGACGAGCAGAACCAGCACTCCTGACATTGTCGACCCACATGCATCCCTAGACATGGAACCCAATTCGGTTCCCCAACCGGACTGACAAGCGTACATACGGGCATTTGTGGATTCTCAAACGCTACAAGGGAAATTTGATCTTGAATCTGGGTGCAATCTATCAGCTTTCTGTCATACATGTTATGCAGAGGTCCACTTCGCTCACGATCTCAACACGTATGGATCAGCTATTATCACTGCTGCACGGCATATCCGACTTTGCTGTGCGGCAGTTCCGGTAGCTGGCAGTTTGCGTCGAAGTATAAGTAGGCCTGCTCAGCTAGAACATCGACAGCTACCGCAACGCGTCATGGCAACCGACACCTCTTCCCAACTTCCCGCGCCTAAGCGCATCGTCACAGCGTACGACGACGCTGGAAAGAGCGTCATCCAGAAGATCGATACTCTCCAGTTGAAGCCCTACCCCAACTCGAAGTCAGGCTACAGAGATGCCTGGACGTTTGATAAGGTCCCGACGAACGACAACAACCTCTCGTACGTGTTGATCACACCGCATACGGCGTATTATTCCTGACGGTACATGCGCGTAGGATTGATGGTTCTGAGCGCACTATCACTGGACCTGGCTTGAGCATCGTACATGCAGGCGGCGTGAGATGCTTCTTCAACGACCTCGCGCCGGGCATGACGAAGCCGAGTCCGATGGTGCGGCACTTCCTCGACCTCCCTCTTCGTCGTGAAGCTGACGTTGGATGCAGCACAGGACGATGTCGACCGACGTAGATGTGCTCAGTACGTTCCTCATCGAGCCTTTCCTCCGAGACGGATAGCTGACGCGCTACATGCAGTCTCCGGCCAAGTCTTCCTGATCATGGAAGATGGGACCGAGACGCTCCTTGACAAGCCGGGTGATAGCATCGTACAGCGAGGAACGGCTCATGCGTGGCGCAACCCAAGTACGACGGAGTGGGTGCGCTTCATGTCTGTCGTAGTGGATGCCGAGCCTGTCGTCGTCGATGGGAAGGCGCTGAAGAACGAGTTCCTACATGCTTGAGGACCACTTTCAAGGTCTGGCAGAGGGAGAGCTCTTGATCTCAGAACTAGATTGCAACCACTATTGTGTATATCAGATCTCTGTAGATTGCACCGCGTTGCCTGTATCCCGCCCGTCTATCTGTATAGGACACGGCATAGCTACCGAAACACGTCAAAAGCTCTGACCCAGCCTGTCCTCAATGTGGGGTAGTCGGAGCATGTCCGTCCGAGTATACCTTTCCAGATGATTCCTCGACGATGTATCCAGCATGGCTCAACACATTTTTGGCTACTGCTGACAGAGACGCACCATCCCCGCTCCCATGATCGCACCTTTTCGGCCTTACAAGTCCGATAAGCAAAGTCATAAGTACCCTTACCTCCTACAAACAGCCTATAACCCTCTTCGGGACTTAACCCAAGTACTTCTCCGTCAGATAACTGCCATGAGCGCTGTCCCTCCTTCGACTCTGCCTATCCCGCGGCGCATTATCACGACGCATGACGGGGCTGGGAAGAGCATCGTCCAGTCGATTGCTCCGGCCAAGTACCAGCCGTTTCCACACTCGAACTCGAGCTTTACGACGTTGTGGAACTTCGATAGTGTTCCGACGAATGACAATAATGTTTCGTGAGTTCCGCGATGGTGGTGATATCTGGTGGGGGATTTGCTGACGGGTGTTTGTAGTGATGATGGTGGGGAGAGGAAGATCACTGGCCCCGGTCTGGGCGTCGTGCACCAGAACGGCGTAAGCGTTCGGTACAATGACCTTGCGCCGGGTGAAGGTGCACCATTGGTGAGTAGACGAGTTCGTCATATCCACGCGATGAGATTTCGAAGCTGACTGGTGGGTAGCACAGGACAACGTCGACGGACGTCGTAACACTCAGTACGTATAGTTCGCTCCATCTTCGCTTGACCGACTGATAACAGCGTGCAGTTTCTGGTCAAGTCATCCTCGTCCTCGAAGACGGCAGCGAGACCCTCCTCGAGAAACCGGGCGATTGCATCATTCAACGCGGGACCGCCCACGCGTGGCGCAACCCAAGCAAGACCGAATGGGCCCGTTTCATGGGCGTCATTGTCGACGCCGCACCTGTCATTGTCGATGGCAAGACGCTGGAGAACGAGATGCCCGTCCAGAGTAAATAAAAATAAAAATGGATTGGATTGAGAGGGTGATTGTACCCCACGCGATATACATGTTTTGTTGTATTGTAACTTCCAGGACGACCGATAGACAACGAAAAGGAAGCGGGCGCGGGACGGGCCGATGTTGGCTGCTTTTTGACCTCAACAGGCCATGGGGTAGGACCAGCGAGGCTTCGAAAGAGCCGTGTTCGGGCGGCGGGAACATGCATAACATGAAAGCAAGTTGGATAGCAGAGTACATGGTACGACAGGGTGATTAGAAACCTGAAGACGATTGTTAGTTGCGGTATAGATTGAAAGAAAGATGCGACGTACAACACTGGCAATCGAAGGGACACAGCGGCGTGTCTTTGCGGCACAATCAGTGCGCACAATGGGGTATACAGCGAGAGCTTACCTCCGGCCTCGACGTCTATGCCGAGCTCATCTTCCTTGAAGATCAAGAAGCCCTCTTCAGTCTTTCGTCCTGTGGAGCATTTTCAGTACACACATCAAAGTAAAGAAACCAAGAAAAAAAACGTACGGGGACCAGTGCCGCGCGAGTCCTTGAATCGCGCCTCCTCATCGTCGGCGTCTTTACTCTTCTTGCTACCAGAAGATTTCGCTGCAGCGGCCTTCAACAGCGTTCCGGAAGTTTTTGATTTCTTCTTGGCAGGAGCGACGGCAGAAGGAGCAGCAAGCAGTGACGAGGAAGTGTCGACGACTGTTTCGGGTACAGGCGCCGTGCGCGCCTTTTTCGCCTTAGTCGGGGGGTCGTCGGCAGGAGGAATGGAAGCGGGCTCGGCGTCAACGTCGCGCTTGCGCTTTTTATCCTTTTTCTTCTTCTTTTTCTCTACGGTAGCCGTAGAGGTAGAGGCGAGTGCAGAGGGAGTAGCTTTTGCCTTGCCCTTTGTTGCGAAGATGTCGTCGATTTCTGAGACGGGCATGGGAGTCGGAAGAGAAAAATGAATTGACGGCGCGTGACGGCTGACAGGTCGAGATGTTCGTTGACCTCGACCGGCGCGTCTCGGTCGGATATACCCCGCATCGCATCGGCGTGCGCTGCTGTTCCTTTCTATTTGGCTGGACATGTGCTGACGTAGTTTCAGAAGAAATGGACATGCAGCATGGCGGGAACCACGGTGACGGCAGCCCCGTCGGCAACGGCTTCGGGGGGTTCGGCGGTAGCGGGCTGGGGATGGGCGTCGGGGGGCTGGACCAGAGCAGCGTTGCGAAGCAGATGGCAGCGCTGAGTGCGGCGGGGCAGGTGCGGATGCAGACGTCTTCTGTGCAGAGGACCGGCCAAAACTCGGCGGGTTCGTGTCCTGTCCACTATAACTCCTTGAAACGTGACTTGCCGTGTTGATCGTCGTCCTTGTCTCCAGCGCCGAACATGCAGGCCGCCAGCCCCCAGCAGCAGCAGGCAATCATCGCCCGCCGCCGCCAGTTCATCCACTCCCTCGCCCAGGCTCACTTCCAGCGCGGCCAGCCCCTCCCCCACCAGTTCACAAGCATCAACACCCCCGGCTACGACCCCGCCACCTCCTCATGGAACAGACTCCCCCTCGGCAGCGAGCCCGGCAAGCTCCGCGTCAATGGACGGGACATCGACATCTTTCAGATATTCCACATGGTCATGCAGCGTGGAGGCCCACACAAGGTCGGTCGCCCTTTCATCTCCCGCCATATCCCGATTAAAGAGTGTCCATATGTAGATGACAGAGGAAAATCGCTGGGCCGAAGCCTTTGCCTCGCTCGACCTTTCTCAAGAACACCTCCACACCTTTGTCCAGATCGTCTCTGCTCTCTTCGCCCCGTACGACGACGCGGCACGACGCAGTCTGGCCCGCCAACAACAACAGCAACAGGCTGCCGCTCAGCAGCAAGTGCCACAGGCCCCGTCCTCCGACGCGGGTCAACCGTCGCGAAGCGCGTCGGCCGCTCCCATCAACGACAACAACCGTACGTTCATTACGTGTCTGCCACCGTCCCCATACGTATCTCATACATATATAACCTGCAGTGGGCACGCCACAGTCGTCCAGTCCCATTATGGACCGCGACGCCGAAGCCGAGAGCCGCAAACGCAAACTCGCACAGGAAGCAGACGCTAAACGCGCTCGCCAGAGGACCGGTATGTTGTTGCCACTTATGTTCTCACTTAGCCTCACGTTCTACTACAGCCGAAGCAGAGTCTGAAGCGGAAGTGAAGCCTACTACGAGCTCGAGCCCTCCGCCCTCCACCACAGCCTCCGCACCTCCAAATGGACAGGCGGATACCCCAAACTCGCCACGCAAGCGCCGCGTCGAGTACCGTCCTATGGCGCGCCATCTCGAGGAATACGGTGGCCGAGCCATCGACGCCCGTCTCGAGGATATCCGGCGAATTTCCGTCCGCCAGGTCCGTGATATGGCCGAGTGGGGTGCTCTGGACGTCGACACGCTCGCGATGAGCATTCGCTCTCGGGTGCCCAATGAGGTCATATACGGGCTTACGACGATGACGATGCTCAGCATTCTGAGGAGCGGCCCAACAGGGTTCCCGTTGCACATAGCGGGAGACGTGTTTGAGGAGATGTTGGACTTGCTCGAGGAGGTGGCCGGGTTCGAAGATGTCGAGGATACGGATGATGTGGGGGATAACCTGGAGGACTTAGTCACCCACGCGCAACTCGCACAAGCTGTCTTAGACGAGGGCAACAAGCTCTTTGCGCCGCTGAATAGGGAAGAGCCTATGCGTGCACCCGGACCGCGACCGGCGGACACGATCCTCTGCATCGTCAATATCCTTCGCAATCTCGCGGGACCCTCAACAAACGCCGAGATATACGGCAAACACCCGCGCGTGCTGCCTATACTTCTCCGTGTCTGCGGCGTGCAACGGACACCAAGAGGCGGTTTCAAGCCTGTCAGCCCCGCGCTAAACCTCGGCGAGCTCGTATACGTTCGCCGGGATACGCTATACCTCATGCTCAGCGTCGGCCGCGAACTGACGCTCGCTCCATCCCTTTCTGCTGCTCCAACACCCACCGCTCTCCGCCTCGCCCGACGCACCTACGCTCTGATTGCATCATTCCTTTTGGAACCCGACGCGCAACCTCCCTCTGTGCTGTTCATATCCGGCACAACCCGCCCACCACAACTCCTCGAAGCCGCATCCGATACATTCAGCGCCGTCGCCCAGCCCGACACGACAAGACGCGTACTAGCCCGGGCTGTGCCGCGCGCATGGCTAGACGGGCTGTTCAGGTGTTATGCGAGGCGCATGCCGATCGCCGAGATGGATTTCAGGATGATGCAGGAAGAGGCGTGGTTGGGCTATATCGAGCGCTGCGTCATGGGGCTGTTCACGCTCGCGTTCATCGCGCCGCCCAGTCTGCGGAAGAGCTGGAGGAACGACAAGTCGTTGGCGCTCGGGAAGGTGATGGGGAAGTTGGTCAAGAAGATGACGGTGAACGTTGCGCAGGGTATGAAGCCCTACTGGACCGTGTGCGCGCGTCGGGCCGTCGAGATGCTCACGCTGCTGGAGAATGAAGCGGATTCGTTCGGCGATCCGGTGCAGAGCGGTGAAGGACAGGTGTTGCAGTTCGGGATGGGCTATGGAGATAATGATGACGAGAAGGGCGCGGGAGAGGGTGGGACGGGGATGTTGGCTTGTCTGGCGGATGAGGTGCTTTGGGGCGTGATGCAGCAGAAGGAGGTTGTGCAGGACGACGGGATGTTCAAGGAATTGATTGATCTCGTGCGGTTCGAGATGCCCACGTCGGCGTCTATGGTGGCAGTGTAGTAGTGTAGTAACCGTCCTAAGTTAGTGTCCTACAGTCCAGACTCGTCCCAGACCGCTACTTATTGTTGTACTTGTATTCTACCATCTCACCATCTCACCTCCTCGCTTCCGCCCGTTCCGCGAAGGACCTGTGCTCCGATCCGTGGATTCCGAGTATCTGTACATATTGCTGACTTGTCTCCTGCTTTCATCATCATCTCCAATTACGCACTCGCATGGACGCTCCGCCTCCGACGTATGACCTCGAGCACGACGCGCAGATTGAGATATTGCCCGCGAGCGATGCGCTGAGCTTTCAGTCCGGGTACCTGGGCGCGGACGACGAGCGGGCTGCGATGGAGGGCGAGGTGCACCTGAAGGGCGCCGGGAGCGGGTGGGAGAAACTGTCCGTGCTGTTGTCCTCGTCTTTCTGACATGATACGTGCTAAGACCAGAGCTGTAAAGGATTATCACCCTCGTCGCGTCCGAACGCGCGCACGGGCAGCAGATCGAGCTGCACGACGCCCAGCTCGTGTTATACGACGGATCGGGCCCCTTACCCGCTGTGCTGCCCTTTGCGCTCCCTCTCACACCCGACGCGGCCCAGTGCACACATACGCCCGTCTCTGCGCTCGACTATATTCTCACTGCGACGCTCAGCGCGCGCGATCGGCCGAGCGTGGTCAAGAAGGTCGAGGTCCACGCCCGCCGGTTCTCGCCACACAACGCCCTCTTACCAATCGCGCCCGTTAGGCGCTCATTGTCCACTCCCGCACACCTGCAGGTCGAGC